AAGAGACCTTTTCAATAAGCAGACATGGTTTGGATAGTAGGCATCAATATATCCAGGTGGTTGCTTCATATACACACTTTCAGATAGATTTCCATTTAAAAAGACATTATGAACATCCAGTTGCTTAATAGACCATCCTGATGATAAAACCAGAGAGAGAAGTAACATGATTGTGGTCGGTTTGACCATTGGATTGAACATATCAAAGAAATCCTGCTCGGGTACCTGATTAAACCCTTTTGCAACAAGTCTTGCTTTGTGCCTTTCAATGGAGCCATCTGCTTTTCGTTTTGTACGAAAAACCCACTTACACCCAATAATGTTCATTCCTGACTGAGATGTCACAAATTTCCATGTCTGATTCTGTAAAAGGGCATTAAATTCTTGATCCATAGCCCCACGCCATTCTGAAAATTTAACTGCCTGAGTGTAACAAGTAGGATCCGAAGGACACACCTGAACCGTTAAACGTGATGGAGGAGCCTGAGAGCGACTACGAGTGTTCATCTCGTGAGTCCGAACTATGGATTTAACGGTTTTACCTCGTGGTTGGCCGCGAGGCCGCTTGGTAGATGGTCCGTGGGCTCATGCGGCTCGTGCTTGGGCGCATCTGGTGGGTTGACGGCAGTGTGCGGCGGTGAAGATTGTGGTTCGTTTCTATGGGTGGTTGTGGCGGGCATGTGGCAGGTGGTTCCGTGCCGCAGGAGGTGTGGGGCGAAAAACAGATTCGACCCACGGGTAATTTTGCACAGGTTGGGGAGACTGGACAACAATGTTTGTAGCAAAGGGATAAACGGTCTCATCAAACCTCACATGCCTGCACACATAAATCTTGTTAGTATGTAAGTCCATGCACCTATACCCCTGAAATGTCTCAGGATATCCTAAGAAGACACATGGAGAGGAACGAAATGACATTTTGTGACGGTTGTATGGTCTGAGATACGGATAACATAGACACCCAAAGACACGAAAAAAAGAGTAGGAATGATGAGAGTTATGCAATTTTAAATGAGGACTGGAGTTATTTAATACAACGGATGGCATTTTGTTGATTAAATAGACTGCAGTTTCAAAAGCAAAATCCCAAAATTTATATGGAACAGAGGCACGGGCTAGGAGAGCTAAACCCATTTCAACAATGTGTCTATGCTTATGTTCTACACAACCATTTTGTTCCTGAGTGTAGGCACAAGACTGTCTATGAACAATTCCTAATTGAACAAAGGAATGATGCAACTTTTTGTATTCCGCTCCTAGGTCAGACTGAATGGATTTTATTTTTCTATTGAAGGAGCGTTCAACCATTATACGAAACTTATCAAAGATGGCATACAAATCTGATTTTAATTTCATGGGAAAATACCAAGTGTAGCGGGTATAATCATCCACGAAAATAACAAAGTAACGATGACCATCAATAGACAATAAAGGAGCTGGACCCCAAATATCTGTATAAATTAAATCAAGAACACTAGTACTGGATGACTCAACACGCGACAATGGAAATCGAGCAGATTTGCCCAATTGACACGCTGAACATAAACTGGAATTACAACGAATAGTACGATTAGAGCCACTAATCGAACAAGACCGAAGAATTTGACTAAGGACACGTTGATGAGGATGACCCAAATGATCATGCCAAATAGAAGTGGTAGCACGAGCGGAGAGAAACGCGGAAGAAGACGAATTTGGAACAGGTAAAGTGTATAGGCTACCCAAGCTACTGCCCCGTAGGAGAATTTCCTTGGTGGTGATATCTTTCACAAGAAAAAAAGAAGGATGAAACTCAAAGAACACATTATTATCTGTAGCAAAACGTTGAACAGATAATAAAGAGGTAAACAAACCAGGAACATGCAATATATCAGACATCGTAAATGACCTAGAAGGGGTATTAAAAGTTGCATGACCAACATGACTAATAGATAGACCCATACCATCACCGACACGTAAAGTGTCATTACCAATGTACTTCTCTGAGGTAGAAAGGGCAGCTATGTTTGGAGTTGCATGATTTGTGGCTCCAATGTCCGGAACCCAAGTATGAGAATTTGACGAGGTTTTAGTTCCCAAACCATCCGGAAACACCAAATTAGCATGAAAACCCGGAGCCCCTGAATAACGACGAAAACAGTTGACTCCCATGTGACCAAAACGTTTACAAATTTGACACGGATCATCATAACGTCAAAAACAATTGACTCCCGTGTGCCCAAAACGTTTACAAATTTGGCATAGATCATCATAGCGCCAAAAAAATTGGCTCCCGTGTGACCAAAACGTTTACAAATTTGACACGGATCATCATAGCGCCAAAAACAATTGGCTCCCGTGTGGCCAAAACCTTTACAAATTTGACACGGATCATCAAATCCACATTGCTGACCTCCACGGTAATTAAGGTTGCCAGCCGCGCTGCATCTTTTTTTTTTTTTTTTTTAAGAGCTTGATCTTGATTTTATGAAATCACAAAACCCTAGCTAACTGATACCAGATGAGAACTGATAGAATTGTATTGAATGAATGTCATAACAACTGTATAGACTGGGGGAATATATATAAGAGGAATTATAGGAAGACTAGGACTAGGAGTCATAATACTAGTTCTAATATGAGCTTTGATTCTCTTGCTTTAATTCCTTGTGATAGTCATGGATTATGCTTTTATTATTGAATTCCTTGCTATTTTCCTTTCCAATATGAGTGAGTAGATTCCTTAGGAGGTTGATAGACATGTAGATTAAGTTTTTGGAGATGTGATCTTAAATTATTTGAGTAGGAAAGATGATACTTGATGTGATATGTTGATCAACATGATTGAGTCACAATTAATTAAGAAGTGACAACCTAATCTATGCTCGATGCGTTTGTAACATTCGAAAATTTTATTAACATTTATTTTATACCAAATATATATATATATATATATATATATATATATATATATATATATATATATTTTGGTTCCTGTGAGAACAGGTCTTCTCATGCGGTGAGTGCGGCATACACCATTAGGTATGCATAAATGCACCATACAGTGTGTGAGAATACACTAGAATGAAATGCCAAAAAATGCACCACAAAAAAAAAAAAAACACCACACATAATGGTGTATTTTCAAATACTGTGTGGTGCATTTATGCATACCTAATGGTGTATGCCGCATTGACCGCACGGGAAGACTTGTTCTCACAGGAACCTAACCCTATATATATATATATATATATATATGTGTGTGTGTGTGTGTGTGTGTGTGTGTGTGTGTGTCATAATTTCTCACATATTACAATCAATCATTTCCCCATCTGGCCATCACTATCAATCTTCCTAAATTTCTCCTAAATCATCCTAATCACCATTATTTCTCCTCTAATTTGTCTTACTTTCCCTTCTTTATTATTGACCATTTAGAGTCTTCATTCTCCTCATATCCCCCTCAATTGGCTGAAATCACCATAGGAAAAAAAAATATGTCTTCTTCTTCATCAACGACCTAGTTTTTTCTTCGGTCACCAATCAAGTTTAACCAAGTTTCCCCTCTCTTTCTCTCCAAGTAAGTTGGTAATTATTGGTCAAAGTACCTATGAGGTCCCTGTAGTATAGTGTTTTATTCAATTTAGTTCTTCTACTTTAATTTTTGTTCAATTTAGTCCATATACTTTAAAAAGTGAAACAATTAAGGACAATAGTTGATGTGTTGGCACTGACATCATCTCTGTCATGTCATCATATTTACATGTCAAGTCATATATTATTTTATTAATATATTTGAAATTAATTATTTAAAAAAATTATCTTTTTCACTTTGGTTGAAAGTTAAGAAATTGCATTATTTTTAGTTGGATTCATTTTTTCCTGAAAATAAATATATTATTTGTTATAATAATAATAATAATAATAATAATAATAATAATAATAATAATAATCATCTACTATACTAATAATTTCCAATAAAGTTAGGTCTATAATGTGAACTAAAAAATGTCCGTCAAATTATTTGATAAAATAATGTCTCAGATTATTTTGACTTTAGTATTTTTTATGATTTTCTTTCTTTACCCTCTATTATATTATTTACTTTCCTTAAATAATCCCACATTCCGTTAGTATAAACTTTAGTAACAGAATATTCTGTTAGCTTTTAACTTACCCATTAATTTTTATAAGAAAAGTTTTAGGTTCGAACTCATCCCAATCAGAGTTGGCATAATTGTTGAACATATATACTACGAATATGTTAGAGTATATTATTGAAAAGTAAGTATCACACTATTACTCTTATTAAATTAAATAAATTACTAGCTACAACAATAAAAAATAGGCAAAAGTGTCAAATCGCACCATGAACCAATTGCGATTCTTCATGCCGCACCCTGACCTTTGATATATGCTGTTTCGATGCACAAACCATCAAATTTTGTTCGTCTAGAATTTTTAGCAGGTTTCCAGGTTACCTTGATGACATGGCAACAATTATGTGTTGATGTGGACTTATTTTTAAGATTCAACACTCATTTCAAGGTCTATGTGCTGATGTGGACTGAAGGCTATCCAACTGATCTTCAACGCTGAGCTCCTCTGTAAATCGCCCCGAAGTTTCGCCACCTTCATTATGCAGCCGGCCGACCAATCTCACAACCCAGAGGTACCGCCCTAGCGTTACCAGAATGACAGAGACAACATTACATAGTACTGTTTTTATGTTACTTAAAGTTAATTGTTCTTCATGATTTTCAGAAACTATTCTACTATTCTGAGAATAGAAAACTGAACCAAACAATCGAGAAGTCCCATAAAATACACAGGTTTAGGCCATGGCACACATAAAAGAAATGCTAACCTCAAACTTTACAAACGCTTTAATTTAACCTGGGTTTATACTCGGCAGGGCAAACAAGAAGAGAGTCTACACAAAGGCTTCCTTTCGTGTGCGTGCAATCAATCTGAGTCATGGAAATTTTTAGTTTCATCTATCTTTTTCCAAGAATCCGACACGACAAAATCTCCGGCGTGGTGGTAAACCCATTTCTCGGGTTCACTCAGGTAACACTCCGTCGTCGTCTCTTGCTGGCCGTCCGACGTCGAAAGCTGAAACCTGTTACAAATTTTCATCCGCCTTGGGTTCTTTTTCGGCTGGAGGCAGCGACGCTTGTAGTGTCCCTACCTTCGCATTGGACGTTGACGATGATTCTTTAAGCGAAGGAGCAGCGGCAGTGACCCACAGCCTACTCTTCTTCTTGCGACTGGTTTTTCTCCTGTTGTGGGTGATTGAGAAACGTAGTAAGAGGAAGAGATAATGGCGATTACTAACCTTACACGACGTCGGAATCCAAAGCCACGTAGGGGGGGGGGGGTCAGATAACCCAGGTTAACCACCAAGGGAGTAGCGAAGTCAACGCTAACCTTACGCACGGCAAATCACGATTGAAAACGTCGAAGAACTTTTTCCAACAGAGGTGACCGTCGGACTTCCTTCGTTCATAATCTCAGATGACCACCGGTAAAAGCATTTCAAGAAACAAGTAACGCCGTAACTGTCGTTCAGACACCAAATACAGGAAAAACCTTAGTGGCGACGTAAAACCCACCGGGAACGCCGGAAACTGCCGCGACCATCCAACTTCCGACGAGTTGAAAACCCCAGTTTCATCGGCAAAAGAGGTCTGCCCTCCCTCGACGTCGCCGTCAAGAGGGAACTGGAGTCCGAGATGAGACACGAAAACATATCAGCTGGAGAACATTGGAGAGAAAAAAAATATATTGAGAAAGTAAAAAAAAATGCCATGTCATATTTTTAATACATATTTAAATAAGTCAATAAAAAAATACCTCCACATCAGCATATTATAATGGGTAACTTGATGGCAACCTGCTAAAAAGTCTAGACGAACAAAATTTGATGGTTTGTGCATCGAAACAGCATATATGAAAGGTCAGGGTGCGGCATGAAGAATCGCAATTGGTTCATGGTGCGATTTGACACTTTTGCCTAAAAAATAATACATATGCATTTCTTTAATTTAGAATTCGATATGAAAGGTTCTTTACCTTCAAATTCATTAATTAATTATATTTTCTACATTGTTCATTGTATTCTTTTTACACTATCTTCAACTTAAATATCAAAGTTATAATACAAAATGATGTTATATATTTATTTACCAAGTATTATATTAATAGCATAGATTTTTTTATTAAAAAAAATAGTTTTAAACCAATCATATAAACTACTTGGGAGAGGATTTATTGACAAAGAAGACATTCAAATAACCCAATAAATTGAAGCGGGAAACAACACCGTAATATATTTGGACTACATCACAGTTGTTCACTTTAAAGGTAATCGTATTTTTTTTATTAATATGATTTAAAATGTATAGATTTTTACTACCTTATCTAATCATATTCCTTAAATAAACTAGGAATTTCTCTATCCACAAGAATTCATTCAACCATAATGGTTGAACCAAAAGTATCTCGAGCAAAACACCTAAAGGACTAGTATGCTTTTATGCTGATAATAATATGTAAATGGTAATTAGATCATTATCTTACGTAGCTATATTTAAAACTCATTATTAAAAATGAATGTATGACAATAAAACATTGTGACACACTTGATGCATTGAAAAGATGTTGAGACTACAACATTGCTGGAATCAATCTTTCAAATCCAGAAAATGAAGAAATTTCAAAAATAGCTACCGTTGCAGCATTCATTAATCCTGTATGTAAAATACTTATTGTGCATCCTTTAAATATATTATAACTAATATAAATTTACAATTCATTTCATTTTCTACACTCAACCTGCTTGGATTAAAGGTAAAATCGATCTTGACAATAAAAATAATTGGTGTATAGGATGTAGCCATTGTTTAAAAATATTTATGCACAAAGTGGCAAACTATTTAACTGCATGCATTGTGGTGAAAATGCAACAGTGGGTACTTCGATCAAAGATTAGTATCAATTCAACAAAAAAAAAAACACACACACACACACACACACACATATGCACACCCAAAATCAAGTCCCACACTCATTTATACTAATTCTAAAAATATGAACTTTAAAATGAACATGTGCAAAATGGATGTAGAAACTGTTGATGAAACTGGACATATCGCGGCATCAGTATTCGGACTACTTGCAAAGTCATTGTTGTTACTATCAAGTAAACAAGTTATGAAACTAGAACAAAAGGTACTATTTATTAACCTTTTACAAATATAATAAATATTAATATTTTGTTCAATAATTTCACATGAGAATGTACGATACACATCCCACAACACATGAAACTTGTTGAGGAAAACTACCACTTCCAAATATCAACATGCGATTGCAAGATCAAGAGTTCATAGTTCAATTAAGATCCCGGTCATATACACAAACACAACGAGACAAATTGTTATAATAATAATAATAATAATATTATTATTATAAATGGTTAAACCAAGTAAATGAGATGCGACCAAGGACTTTGTGGTCCAATGGTACCAAGTTGAGCTCCCAAATGGGAGGTTGTGCGTTCGAGCCTCAAGCTTCAGTGGAGGCGCTATTGACTCTCTGTGCTTCAGTAAGTTGGGAAAGTAACAAATACTGCATAGTATTGGATTTTAGCACTACGTGGGAAGTGAAACAAGGAGCATTAATTTCTTAATCTTAGCATTTTAGTTATTTCTCTTTCTTATAAATAGTGTGTATCACACAACCCTTTGATGTGCAATAAATATTATTATTTCCTATTCTTCTCTTTCAAATTATATTATAGATATATTATATTTAATATATCTTACATTTGGTATCAGAGCCAGACAACCTTTCAACCACGAGATATTTTCCCGTAGTGAAATATGACAGCAAATTCAAATATTGTATGGTTGGGTCCCAAATTGGATGGGAAACTCGATTACAATTATTCGCAAATTATGATGACCACACATTTGAAAGCTCAAAATTTTAGAGCTTTGTTGATCCCTATCTACTCGAAGGAGCTGATGCAACCGCTATACGGAGAGATCAATTGGCCTTGGGACAGATTCACCAAGGTTTTCATTACTCCATTTTTGGGCAATTAGCTCATGCTCAAACAGCAAAGCAAGCTTGGGATATCTTAAATGTGTCATATAAAGGAGTCGATCGGACATAAGTCTAAGTTGTAGTCGTTGAGAAGGTTGTATGATAATTGTGAGATGACCTCTACAGAAATAGCAGATACGTATTTCACTCATCTTATTGATATGGTGAATAATATGAGGTTATATGGAGATACGATTGAAGATGGCAGTGGTTGAAAAAGTTCTTCGGACTATGTTGATGAAGTATGACCATGTGTGGTGGCTTCAATAACAGAGTCACACAATACCGAACTCTTATCAATTGCAGAGCTGAAAGGTATGGTAGAAAGTAATATTGATAGGATTGCGTCAAAATTGGAACCACTAGCAAAAGAAGCTTTGAATCTCCAAGTCACCCTTCATGTGACTGACACTAATCAAAGATGTGGAGGATCTGGTAGAGGTCGTGGAAGAGGAAGATGATGATCTAGTGGAAGAGGTCGTGGTAACTTCAACCAAGGAGGAGGACATGGTAACTCCAACCAAGGAAGAGGTGGAGGGAATACCAAACAAGGTAAATTTCCATTTCATTGCTACAATTGTGGCAAGTATGGGCACAATATTGCAGATTGCTGGTATAATGAGAACAATTGTGGAAATCAAGCAAACATTGCTGAAAAGTCTGGTGAGAGTTCTGAAACTTTACTTTTGGCCAGTAATAGTTTCTCTGCAGATAAAAACATATGGTTCTTGGATACTGGGTGTAGTAACCATATGTGTGGGAAGAAAAAATTCTTTTCTGAACTAGATGAATTAGTCCGGTCTGAAGTAACATTTAGCAATAAGTCAAATGTGCCAATTTCGGAAAAAGGTAAAATCTCTATTCAGTTGAAGGATAGTACTCACAATTTTATATCCGATGTGTTCTATGTTCCTGAACTACACCAAAATTTGTTGAGTATGGAACAGTTGTCAGAAAACGGATATAAGATAAATATAAGTCAGGGGTGTTATACCATTGCACATGCTAAGGGAGTTTTGATTGCAAAGGTAAATATGTCCCACAATTGAATATTTCCTTTGAAAATTAAGCATACACTTCTTGCTTGCTTTAATTATGAAATTTGTGATGATAATTGGTTATGGCATATGCGATTTGGGCATTTTCATTTCTATGGATTAAACTATCTCGCGAGAAAGGAGCTTGTTTCTGATTTACGTACATATTGTGATTGTACCTGATCGTATCTGTGAGATTTGTGTAATTGGGAAGAAACATACAGATCCCTTCCCCGTGGGCAAGTCAAGGAGAACCACAAAACAGTTGGAGATTTTTCATCAGACCTGTGTTCGTTGGAGGTTCCCTCACATGGAGGTTGTAAGTACTTTATTACTTTCATTGATGATTTCAGTAGGAAAACATGGGTTTTCTTTCTGAAGCAAAAGTCTGATGCATGTGATCATTTCAAACAATTTAAGACTTTTGTTGAAAAGCAGAGTGGTTATGAAATTAAAATCTCGAGAAATGATAGAGGTACAGAATATATTGCTTGTGATAATTTTCTGAAAGAGAAGGTATTCAGCACCAGATGACAGCCAGATACACTCCACAACAAAATGGAGTGACTGAGACTCTGAGAGAAATAATAGATCTATCATGAATATGGTGAGGTGCACGTTGAAATCTAAAAGGCTGCCTAAGTTTTTTTTTTTTTGGCAGAAGCAGTTGCTTGTGCTGTCTATGTGTTGAATAGGTTTCCAACTAAGAGTGTCCGTGATAAGATACTTGAGGAAGCTTGGAGTGGGAAAAAACCCTCTATAAGAGATCTCAAGATTTTTGGATTTTTGGCATCCCCATGTGCCAGATCAATTGAGAAAGAAGTTGGTTGATAAAGGTGAGAAATGCATATTTATTGGTTATAGTGACGCTTCAAAGACTTATAAACTATACAATCCTGAAACTAAAAAGGTTGTTATAAGCTGTGATGTCACTTTTGATGAATATGGTGCTTGGGATTGGTCAGATAAAGATGAAAGGTCAGTTGTTATTCCTGTTGTTTAAAATATTGTTGAAGAGTAACTGATTCCAGATAATGTCCAGTCTCCTTCACAACCAGAGTCGTTCGACGATCTCAACACGAGTGCCACTTATCAACTCGCTTACAGGATTATGTTTTGGGTCATGATAATGACCTATATGATGAAGAGATTGTTAAATTTGCTCTTTTTGTGACCCTCTATCATTTGTGGAAGTTGCTACAGAAACTCATTGGCTTAAGGCGATGTATGAGGAGATACGTGCAATTAAAAAGAATGGTACATGGAAGTTAACGGATTTACCTCCTGGAAGAAGCCAATTGGAGTAAACTGGTTTTGATAAGCGTCAAAAGATGCTAGTTTTTAAGGACTTTTCATAGGTGTTTTAAGCGTCGTTTAGCCTTAAAGTCGTGCACTTTATAGAGTTTTACCCTAAAAATGCGTTGTCGCACAAAGAAACCTTCCCAATTGTACTTTTTATGTTTTTAGGTATTCTTGGACGAGAAAAGTGGCGAAGAAGGATAAAAAAAAATGCAAAATCTATAAGAGCGCGCACCAAGGCACTGGTCACGCCCGAGTCACGGCGTGATGGAGACGTAAAGACGACAAACTAATCACGTCGCAAGCTACGAGCCGTGAGGACGGCGTAATCAAGCTGAAGCAACAGCATGCGCTGATGTGAGTTATTTCTCATTTACGCCGGCGTCACACAGTGACGACAACATAAATGGGTAGCGGAATGGAGGTTGCTGAGATTTAAGCCATTTTTTAGTTCATTTGGAAGAGAGCTTTTTGGACACATTTTAGAGAGTTTTTCATAATTCTAGGTCTATGTTAGTTTCCAGAATTTCTCTCACTAGAATTTAGCCCTAGAACACTCAAATTTGTAAAGAGAAGAGAGGACTCAAGCACTTCCTTTGCAAGATCTTCATCTTCTACTCCATTGGATTGATTTTCTAGCTTTGCAATTTTGGATAAACCCTTGATCTATACTCTTTCTTTCCTAAATCTCTTGGTTGCCTATTTTTGCAAATGTGTAGATTGTTGATCTTGACTATGAGTGGCTATAATTCTAGAGATTAGGATTGTAGTGTAGATTGCTTATGTGATGATTGGCTTGCTTTGAATCTCTATATTTTGATGATTGATTGTTGTGGTTATGTATGTCTTGTTGTGGAGGATGATCTTTGTAGCTTCCTTGGAGTGGGGCCCAACCCCTTGGATGATGTTGGATTCCTAGGTTTAGGCAAGTGATTTCTAAACCTAGGTAGGCCTCTTGATCCTCCTACTTTCCCCGCCCTAGGTCTGAGAGGACATGGTTCGGGAAGGAGCGTAGGCAAGGTGTTTGTGAAATTGCCCCGTAGAAAATATGAGCACCTGGGTGTCATATTCCTCTATGGGAGGCGTTTAGACCGGAATGGCAACATACTAACAACATTCCTCTTGACTTGTAACCCACTGGCAGGGTTGTCGAAGCCCTACAAATTTAATACTGGCTCACTCCACTAATTTATAGTAGTGGCAAGACCAGGTCGAATCCCAAGAGAACTAATAAGTTTCGTTTCTTAAGTTAAAATAAAATGACTCAAAATAGGGAAAATTGGGGGATTTGAGAAGAATAAATAAAATAGACAATAATTAATAACGAGTTCAGAGATATAGAATTCTGATTCAAGGAAGAATGAATGTCGAAGATGTGACTCAGATCATCGGCTCTTACAAGTAAAGTTCAGATTCAAGTACTTAGCCAAAGACTAATTAGGATAGCCATAACTAGGATTTGATCTCCCTGAATTAATTGATTCAAACCAAGCGTTCAAACCAACATCTGTTATTGAATAAACTGGGGACGATAGCGTTCCATATTCACCCAATAACATCATTACACTTTAATGGAAAATAACTAAGCCAAAATCACAGATTGAGATAGCTACAACCTGCAACTTAGTCTTCCTGTCCTTTATTAGCTACTGGGTCTAATTGTTTATGACAATTACGGATCATAAATTCATAGATAGTAGTAGGAAAATCAATAACAAATTAAGTTGTCAATTTAATTCATTATAAACATTCCCTGAGAATTTTAACTTCAAAAGAACAGGAAAAACAAGAATCCAACAATTCAAATAAAATAAAACCTCCCTAAAATCACAACTAGAACTTCAATCACTTGAATCAGATTAAGAAAATCTAACTAGACATAGAGAAAACTAATCTAAAATATAAGAATATGAAAGGAACAATCTGCCAAAATACATCAGAATAGCTCTCCTTTTATAGGGTTTCAAATCAACAATCTTACCTAAACTTACTGCTCTTACCACATCTTTCTCTACCAGCCTCATCTTCAACTTCGAAAGATTAATTAATTCCTTCAAGAATCGCGCTGAAACCAGTCGAATTTGCCGCTCGAATCTCTTCCCTGCGCCTACTACGCCCCGCGTCTGCAACTTGCGTACCTAGTAAAAGAAATAAAAGTAATAATTTATAATCCTAATGATAATTACCGTGAGAAAGAAAAGAAAGAAAAGCAGATCAGGTAAAATCACTAATCACGTGGGACCCACTAAACCTAATTATTTAATTTAATAACTAATAAACTTAATTTTTTTTTTTGAATGAACTAATAAACTTAATTACTCTTTAAATTTATTAACTAAGTTATATAATCCTAATATAAAAAAATAAACTAAATTGATAAAATATAAAATATAAATAGTAAAATTAACTTTTAAAATCTTATTTAAATCAAGGTATAAAATATGCTCATCACCCACCTTTCAATCGTCACGACCTCCCAACTTACAGGAATAAGACAATCACACACTACAATCGGCATGAAAATCATAATTTGTTTTCCCCTTTATTGTTTCAACCTCTTTCTAAGCATACGTGTTCCACTTTTTCCTTGCCAAACCATCAACCAAACCATATACGTCCTTGACCAAGAAGCTCGGAGTATGACCAACCTTACCGTGACCCTTTCCCAACGCTTCTAAGTTATCATTCCTTGAGTACGACAATCCGGGAATCTTCATTCCCACTTCGTTTTCATCACAACCCCTAGAAAACACCCTCGACGTAAAATGAATACCGAGAAGGCATTCATCAGGTTTACAGAACTAAATACAAGTCAAATGAAGAAATTGACCGTTTTAAGGCATGGTTGCTAGCAAAGGGTTACAAGCAGAAACAAGGTATGGATTATTTTGAGGTTTTTGCTCCAGTAAGTAGACTGGATACAATTCAAATGGTTATTTCTCTCGCTGCGCAAAATAATTCGAAATTGCATCAAATGGATGTGAAGTCTACCTTTTTGAATGGTTTTCTTGAAGAAGAAATATATGTTGAGCAACCTGCAGGGTTTGTGAAGAAAGGGGAGGAACATAAAGTGTACAGGTTGAGAAAAGCCTTATATGGCTTAAAGCAGGTGCCTAGGGCGTGGTATGGTTGCATTGACTCATATTTTGTTGAAAGTGGTTATATGAGATGCCCTCATGAACATACTTTGTATGTCAAATGCACTGATTTTGGTGATATTGTTATAATCTGTCTATATGTTGATGATTTGGATTTTATTGGAAATAACTTGAAGCTAATCTCATAATTCAGGGAGGCACTCATTAAGAGATTTGAAATGATTGATATGGGTCTTATGTCTTACTTTCTTGGCCTTGAGGTTGTTCATATGGATGGTGGAATCTTTATATCACAAAAGAAATATGCTGCTGATATTTTGAAAAAGTTCAAAATGGAAAACTCCAAACTAGTTTCAACTCCGTTAGCTGAAAAGTTAAAGGTGTCCAAGATGAGTGTGGTAAAAATGTGAATGTTCCAGCTTATAAAAGCTTAATTGGGAGTTTGAGATATCTGGTGGCAACAAGGCTGGATATTTCTTTTAATTTGGAGTTGGAATACTTAGCAGATTCATAGAGGAACCAAAAGAATCACATTGGGCTTCAGCAAAGCGAATTCTGAGATATGTTAAATGTACGAGTAATGATAGAATTTTTTACTCTACTAATGAAGTAGTGGAACTTGTTGGATATACAGACAATGATTGGGCTGGAGATGTTGAGACTAGAAAAAGCACGTAGGATATGCCTTCTATCTTGGTTCAGCCATATTTTCTTGGTCGTCAAAGAAGCAGCAGATTATAGCACTTTCAACCGCAGAAGCAGATTATATTGCAGTAGCAAATTGTGCTACTCAGGCAGTTTGGTTAAGGAGAATTTTGGAGTTTTTACAACACAAGCAGGAAACACCTACAACTATTTTCTGTGACAACAAGTTCTGCAATTTCGTTGTCCAAGAATCCTGTCTTTCATGGTCGCATCAAACATATTGATATCAAGTATCACAAAATCAAAATCAGAGAGTTGGTTGTTGAAAAACAAATCAACATTGAGTATTTTTCAAGTGAATGTCAAGTTGCAGATATCTTTACGAAGCCGTTAAAGACGAAGACATTTCTCAAATTGAAGAAGGAAATTAGGATGACCAATATATCCTACTTGGTTTAAAGGAGGCAATGTTATAATAATAATATTATTATAAATGGTTAAACCAAGTAAATGGGATGTGAATGTGGCAACATGAGATGTGAATGTGGCAAGTGGCAACGTGTAGCATGTATTTGATTTTAGTAGTACATGGGAAGTGCAACATGGAGCATTAATTCCTTAATCTTAGCATTTTAGTTATTTCTCTTTGTTAAAAATATGCTCGGAGTTAATTCCCAAAATGGTCCCCCGACTATGATCTTTACTCAAATTGATTCCTTGAATTTTAATTACACCCAAAGTGATCCTCCGACTATTGAATTTTAAGTCAAAATGATCATCCATTAGCTTTGGTGTTAAGTGGGTGTTAAAATAAAGGGCAAAAAGGACAATTCATATTGTTTGTTGTTTTAAAAATCATATAAACTAGAGAAATATATTGAACATACATGAAAATACAAGACAATCATATAAAATAGAGAAATTTTAAGAATACATGTATATATTACACTTATTATTCTTATGATATTAAATATTCTAATTGAGTTAAGACAAAACATAAGCCATATCTTTTATTACTTCTTATGATATATTAGACTTTTTATTCTTATGGCTTAGTGGGTTACATAATCAGATTACCTTTATGGAATTAACTCTTATAAATATATAGTGTGTATCACACCAGCCTTTGATGTGCAATAAATATTATTATTCCTCTCTTTCTCTTACAAATTATATTGTAGATATATTATATTTAATATATCTTACACAAATTCACCATAATCTCATTGCATGGCGCTGCCCTCTATACTACCACCAGTAACCCAATTGCACATGACACATTACCAATAATAAAAAAAAATAAGTACTAAAGATGAAGACAATGACAATGCTATCCGAAAGAGAATTAAAAAGACTTTGAGAAATTCAAACCAAAAGTAATATTTATTTATACTATCATTTTTAGACTACCGTTTTTACAAAATTGCAAACAATTATTTTAGTGACAATTATAATCAATCCCTCATATATTAGCTTGCATTCATATACTTTGAATTACCGATTTAAATAAACAAATTCAACATTCAATTACATATGCATGAACATCACTTATTAGTCTTGCATTGATATACTTTGAAGTACTTATTTAAAAATAAATATTGAACATATCTCATGTGTGCAATACGCGTGAAAAATTTATAATAATAATAAGTAGTGGTGGTGGTGGTGATGGTTAGCTAGAAGAGAGATGAGAGATCGAGAAGAGAGACACAGTAAAAAGAAAAGACACGAAAAAAAACTTAAAAAGTATTATTATGATCATGACGGCATGACGTGACTAAAATAATTGCAAAATATAATTTGAATTAAAACTTCTAAACTATTAGAAAAAGAAAAATGTCACTTTCCATATCAGATAATTATGAAGTGTAATACTTTAGAGAGAACAAACTTTTGCCATAAGAGCATCTACACTAATAAATTTTTAGGAGTTTTTAATACAATGCAAAAAAATAAGGGGTGATTTTTATTGATGTGGGAGGTAGTTTTTTTTATAACATTTAACTCCTGCAAAAATAAATTTTTACTGGGTCTCACTAATTGAGAAAGGAAAGCAAAGCAATACATAGGTAGTCGCGTGCTGGAGATGCAGCGCACCAGCTGGCGCGTCTGCTGGCCTGCTGCGTCAGATTTTTTTTATTTTTATTTTTCCTTCTTCTCAAACTCTCATCTCTCTCCTAGTGGTACCTAAAAAATTGTATAAAATCTAAGGCTGATAAAAGAGTACCACCCATAATTGATGTTTTTGAGAAGTTTTTGCAGGTGTGACTAGGAAAGAGAAGATGAGAGTGAAGGGAAAAAACCAAAAAAAAAAAAAAAGAATGAAAAATATAATCTGAAAAGTAATATATATATATATATATATATATATATAGAATTAGGTTCTGGTGCAGTTAGAGTGCTCAGGTGCGGTTGTACGGTTTAATCTGGGTCATTCATCTCACTTAAATCAACGTCCAGGATTATCAAAATTTTTTTAAAAAATAGGGTGGCAATTCTGTAATTTTTGAATCTAGGTCAAAATTAATGTGAGCGGTTCTTTGATTAATGTGCGTGAGTTTTGTATATAAGATGCGTGAGTCTTGTGCATAAGGTGCATGAGTTTTGTGCTTAATTAATGTGCGTGGTGTTGTGCTTAATGCGAGTAGTTCGTAAAACTTAAAGTGTGGGCTTTTGTGTTTAAGGTGCGTGAGATTTGTTCTTAATGTGAGGGGAGTTTGTGCTTAATTTGCATAGGGTTTGTGCTTAATGTGTGTAAGGTTAGTGATTAATGTCAGTAATTGTTGAAACTTAAAGTCTGTGAGTTAATACTTAAAGTGCGTGTGTTTTGTGCTTAATGTGCGTGAGATCGTGCTTAATGTGCGCGGGTTTTGTATTTAATGTGCGTGAGTTTGTGCTTAATGTCAGTAGTTGTTGAAACTTAAGGTCTGTGAGTTAATACTTAAATGCGTGGGTTTTGTGCTTAATGTGCGTGTGTTTTGTACTTAATGTGCGTGAGTTTGTGCTTAAGATCTAACACTTCAAGGTGCGTGGCTTTCTTCCAGACACGCGTTTTTTTTTTTTTAAAATTTTCATTGATTTGAGCCGTTGATCTAGATTTGATCAACGACTCAAATCTAACCGCACGGGAAGCTATACCCGCACATGAACCCTTCTATATATATATATATATATATATATATATATATATATATATATATATATATATATATATATATATATATATATATATATATATATATATATAGAAGAGCGCTCATATGCGGTGGGGTCTTACGGTGCGGCGGTGCGGTCAAATTCCAGAATACACCAATAGTGTTAACAATATGCACCAACAGTGTAATAAAAACACACCCCAATGAAATGTAATAAAACATCACAAAATACACCACAGACTCAAAAAAACACACCATATAACTCACCACCCCCAATGGTGTATTTCCGAACAGTGTATGGTGTTTTTACTCACACCTAATGGTGTGTGTTTGGTGATGCAGGGCTCTGTTTACTCTGTTTTGTGTGGTGTATTTCCTAACGTTGATGGTGCATATTTGGTGAACTATTGGTGTTGCCGCACTGTAAGAAATAACCGCACCGTAAGACACTGTCGCACCTGAACCCGCCACAGTGTTGTGTGTGTTAACAACATGCACCAATAGTGTAAGGGAAACACACCACAATGAACTGTAAAAAAACACCAAAAAATACACAACAGACCTAAAAAATACACCATATAACTCACCATCTCCAAATGTTTTTTTTTTCGAACACTGTATGGTGTTTTTAATCATACCTAATGGTGTGTTTTTGGTGATGCGTGCTTAATTTGTGTGTGTTTTTGTGGTGTATTTTCCTAACGTTGATGGTGTATATTTGATGAACTATTGGTGACGCCGCACCGCCACACCGTAAGCCACCGCCGCACTTGAACCTTCATCTCTCTCTCTCTCTCTCTCTCTCTCTCTCTCTATATATATATATATATATATATATATATATATATATATATATATGAGTCAATAAAGTTAAGTTAATAACGCAAACTAAAAAATGTCCGTCCAATTATTTGATGAAATGAATGGTTTAGATGAATTTGATTTTAGTTTTTTTTTTTTTTTAAATTTCTTACTTTACCCTCTATTTTATATTTTTTCCCTTAAATACCCCGCATGTCGTTAGTATAAACTTTAGTAACAGAATATTCCGTGAACTATTTATTATTTTTAACTTACTCATTGATTTCTATTAGAAAGGTCTTATGTTCGAAACTCATCTCAATCAGAGTTAGAGTGTATTAGAAAAACTAGGATCCGTTTACTAACAGAAAACTGTTCTCTCTTTTCTGTTTTCTAATTTTTCATTTTCATTCTCCGTTTTCTATTTAGAAAACTTGTTTAGCAACACTTATTTTTTCAAATTTATTTTTTAGATTAACGTTATAAAATTAAGGCAAGTTTAATTTCGAGTGATTTTTGATCTTATATTTAAAATATTTTTACATATGTTTGGTTTATATGAAATAAATTTAATTTTTTTTTATTTTTAAGTCTAATATATGTCAGATTTTTACATTTCATAACTGAACAAAATTTATATTTGTATATAACATAATAACTAAAAAATATATCCGAACCTACTAAGTTCACCTAAAATTTAGCTTTGATAATATTAATATTTTTTGAGCTAATATTTAAATATTTTTTTAGATATATTCATTTGAATGACATGTATATGAATATATAACTTTTACTTTGAATTCTAATATATGTGAGATTTCAATATCCGATATCTGGACCGAACTTGTTTTACGATGTAACATAATTAAAAATATTCGAACTAATAATCTATTGAGTTCAATCAAAATCTAAAACATTATATAGAGTTTAATTCTTAATTTTGATAATGTAAATAATGTCTTACTTTAAAGTGTAAGCAAATAAGTTATGTTTAGATAAGTAAAGTAAGTAGAAAAGATAGAAGATAGTGATAAGTAAAATAAGACGATAATGAATGTAATCATAGTAATGTGGTTATGGTGACATATAACTAAATAGATGATAGATGATTATGTTTTCCATTTAGAAAACAGTTTTTAAGAGTGTTTCAGTTTTCGAAAACTGGAAAATTATTTTCAGTTTTCAAAATAGAAAACTGTGCTAGTAAACATGTTTTCTGTTTTTTATTTTTCAGTTTCCAGAAATTTTCAGTTAGTAAAAGGCCCCCTAGTTTTACACGCGCATTGTGCAAATGGGTTAATGCCCAATGTTTATATTTAAATAAGAATTTCAAAGTATGTATATAAATACAAAATTATATAGGAGAAATTCATACATAGGTAATTGAATGTCGAATTTATTTAGTTAAATAGGTAATTCAATGTATATGAATGCAAAATAATATAGGAGATTCATTATAATTATTGCTAAAATAAATGTTTGCAACTTTGTAAAATACTACAAAGTTTGAATTTCTCTGTCTTCTTAATTATCTTTAGGGGTAGTATTGTCATTGTTTTCATCTTGACTATTTGTCCTCTCCTTTTTTGTTGGTAGTGTTTCATTTGCAATTGGGTTACTGGTGCTAGTATAGATGACAACATCATTCAATGAAATTATGGTGTAGAAAGTTGTATATTTGTCTTTCTTAGTTGATCTTGCAAGCGTCTGTTGATATTTTTCCGTGATAGTTTTTTTCCCTACATGTTTCGTGTGAAAATATTGAATAAAATATTAATATTTATTATATTTGGGCATTATCTTATTCGTGCAATCTGCGTGAAAAATTAGTATGTATGTATGTATGTATGTATGTATATATATATATATATATATATATATATATATATATATATATATTAGTGCGTCCAACAGGCGCGTGGAGTGCACGCGCTCGACTGGATGCGCCTGGCGCGTGCCACTGTGCCAGGCGTTTCACTTTTCCTGCAAAAATCAATTTTTTATTCTTTTTTCTCTCCTCTACATAAGTTTTGCCTCCTCAAAAATCACATCAAAATACATTGATGAGATGCCTTAAAGTATTGTTAGGATCTTATTAAAAAAAAAAAGGTATTGTTAGGATCATGGCGTGACTAGCTTTGGTCAAGCAGTCATTGTGGACTGGATGATGTTGCTAATTATTGTGTTTAAAATAATAATATTTTTATGACTATAAGATTTTGATATTTGAAGTAATAATATGTTTTATTTTTATTTTTTTTTGAGAAAGTTTGGTCAAGCAGTCATTGTGGACTGGATCATGTTGCTAATTATTGTGTTTAAAATGATAATATATTTATAAGAATTTGATATTTGAAGTAATAATATATTTTTTAAAATTTTTGAGAAAGTTTGTAGCGGTTACGTAAATTTTTTATGTGGTTGAAAAGCGTCTTGTGACACAAGTTCAAAGAAAAATCAGCTATTAGGCACTAGACGGCGACCGACCGCTTAGACTTTCAACAGAATCGTCGTTCTTTGCGGTCATCAGACAAATAGCGATTTTCCTTTTAAAAAAATCAGTTAAAAAGCCCTAAAATGGCGTAATAGCCTAAAATAAGCCAAATCATATCGTTGCTCCGGTACTCCCTCCTCCCTGCTTGCAAATTGCAAATTGCCTCGCAAAGTCGTCGTTTTCGTCGCTGATTGTCGTCGTCGTCTTTGTCGCTGATTGTCGTCGTCGTCCTCGTTGCTCGTCGTCCTCTCTACTCAAAGTCGCTGCTGTCATAAGTATTCTCCCTTTTTCTTTTCTCGTGCTGCCGTATGGTTGCCGGAAGTCCCCAGAACTAGTATATATATATTAATTGGGCGCTTAACAATTTTTTCAACACAAGCAGGGACGGAGGCAAAGGGGGGGTAGGGGGGCAGCTGCCCCCCCCTCACCCCACCTCCACCCCTACCACTACCCCTACCCTATATATAGCCTTTGTATATATATATATATATATATATATATATATATATACACACACACACAGTACATTATTAGTATAACTATTACAGAACAGATTATGTAATTAAAAGCTTTAGTAGACAAGGTGGTAAGAGGTGCATTTGAATTTAGATTAGAAATGGCTTAGGTTCTAGTCCTTGCAATAGCACTGTCAAAATCTTCTACATCTTTGCTTCAACACAATTAAATTTTGGCATCCATATATATTAATAATGAGATGTCTTTCTTTTTTATAATAATAATGAGATGTATATATCACTTTTTTTTTTTTATATTAATACAAGGTCACAATCTTCTACATCTTTGCTTCAACACAATTAAATTTTGGCATCCATACATATATATTAATATAATGAGATGTCATTCTTTTTTATAATAATAATGAGATGTATATATCACTTTTTTTATATTAATAATGGGATGTATATATAACTTTCTTTATATTAATAATGAGATGTGTAATTTATAATGTGTTTTATATTCGAATTGTTTTATCAAATTAATTATGTTTCATATTTTGTTATAAATATTTTTATAAAATTTTAATATGTTTTATTTTCGCTATATCCAACAATATTTATTGTTATACTTAAGTGTTTCATTTTTTTTTTCAAAATTTCTCTTTTCTTTTAATTTTTTGCTCCCACCGAAAAAATTCCCGGATTCACCACTGAATCCAGCCCTACTTCTTTGCCCCCCCTCAACATAATTTCTGGCTCCGTCCCTGAACACAAGTTCGAAGATAGTTAAATTTGAATTGTTATAATGAAACTAGTGTGTGAAAAATGAAACTAAAAAATATAACAATTTTGTTAAATGAAACTAAACTGTAATTAGAATGATACATAATTCATGATCAACGGTGCAGCTACATGGAGTATGATCCACAGTAAAATACATGGTATATCATGGGTCTAACCGTCTAACATGAACAGTACAACGTATTGCTTTAATATTTCTTATGTTCATCAAAACTTGGATCTTCTTTATTTTTTTCTTTATATTACAATTTAATTATAATAGGGTATACAGTATACTCTTTCTATATTTTAATTTGATAAATAAATAATTACGGAGTATAAATTAATAATTTACTTGTGCCCTGCATGAGAAAAAATTAAAAAAAAATTAAACAGTTTTAAATAAATAAATACTTATCTACATTCTATTATTTAAATATAACAAAACTGTATATTACACACACATATATTCCATGTTCAAGTGAAAACTTTTTTTTCAATAAAAAAATATGGAATAACTGTAACCATCCATATGAAATGATTGGACGAACAAGGCTGAAAATTAGAGATAAAGACGGTGGCATTTTCATAAGGTTAGCCAATGTTGATTTTACGGCTTTGGGATGCCGCTTGGTGGGCCAACACTACTGTAAAATACTTGAATAAGGATTTAGATAAATATAGATTAGAATAGTGGAGAGAATAATATGGTGTTTATTATTCTAGAGTTTCGGCCGCTAGAGTGCCAAAGTTGCCGTCCCTTTACACAGTGATCCCGGAGGATATTTATTCTAGAGTACAAGATTCCTACCAGGAAAGTAGGGTTGACGTAGAGCCAATCCGGTTAAGGAATCCGACCTACTTACTACCATAACTGTTTAAGCTAATAAAGGAAGCTACTTAAATAAATATGAAGATCTCCGCAGAATCTGCCTGTTACCGCCTCTAGGTGAGCACCCAGCCGGGGACGCCTTGACCGCCAAGAAGATGTTTTGAGGGGTCACGGTACTCAGGCGAGGACACTCTGACCGCGGAGCCTAGTCGCTTGACTGAGTTTCCGAGCGGTACCCGGTCGAGGACACACCGCCCACGGAGCCTGGTCGTTCGTCCGAATCTCGTAGGGCATTCAGTCGGAGACACATTGACTACCGAGACTGGTCGCTCGTCCGCGCCCCATATATGAGCTCAGCCGAGGACACGCCGGCTGCCGGGCCTAGTCGTTCTACCTGAGCCAGCCGATCTCCGACTGAGTAGGCACCTGCCCTCCTAGATGACAGGTCGCTTGAAGATGGTTGACTCTGGTCCCCAGGCACCTTCCCTGACGAACGGTAATCACATATGCTCATTTGCTAAGCTTCAGGCCATCTTGAATCTGACCGACTAGCCGGGCACCTCTGACCGATTGTCTGATTTGGGGTATCTATCAGCCAACTTAACATAATATACTTTTTTCAATCCAGCTATGTAGCTACGAAAAATGATTTAGTAACGGTGGGTTGTGCAAGAGAAATAGAAATCCTAACCTATTCAAAGGCTTCCCGTATAAACTAGCACACTAATACATTATTTGAGATTAGTAAACTCTTCTTCATGACTCAAACCAATTGTAATTCCAAACCTTCTATACACTACATCCACGAAAATTGAGTCCATTTCCCCATATGCCCTATGATCAATCAGATAATTATCCTATAGCCCCAAGCTTTTTATAGTGCAAAAATGGAACTTCACAAGGTGATTGAAGTAATTTTGGGACGAGAGGGAAAGAAAATTTCAAAAGAAAGGAGAGAAATATGCAGAAGAAATGAAAGAGAGATTTTTATTGCGACAGAAATTAAATATCTTCATTATATATGCATGCTTCACTGAGCAACATTCTGGGAATATATATAAAGGAAAGCAAGACATAAGAAGATCGAGGACATAACATTCACTATGATAGAGATGCAGTCACCTTATTTCTCACCCAATTCGATCGGAAATCAATATTTTTTAAAGAACGGATAACATTTTAAGGAAGATGACAGTCCTATAGCTTTGAAAGTTGGCCAAGCATCCACCTCCGAATCATTTCCAGCGATGCCTTGGGCTGATCCATTGGAACCAAGTGACCAGCATCATGAACCTTAAGGAAAGTGAGAGGTCCATAGCTCTTTTGTATCACTTTCTCCTTTCCATCCACTAAAAATGTCACGTTTGGAGCTGCACCAAATCCTTTGTGGCCAGACCACTGCAAGGCTCCAACCCATCTCGAGTTGCCTGTTTCATATCAAGGTAGGTTGTTGAGTTTGTCTCATATGGGAATTAGGAATATGAGTTTGTCTCATACTAGGAATAGGATTGAAACGGGTAGACCCATTGTATAGGGATTAGATGCCTATAAATATATTGGTTGTATCCCTAAGGAGTGTGTCACCACTATTACCATCACTATGAATAAAAGAATCGTTTCACTCCAGTGGATGTAGGCACATTGCCGAACCACGTAAATCTTGCCTTCTTTCCCTTTCTGCCATTATTATTGTTTCTTGTTCTTGTTAATCTCAACAAATTGGTATCAGAGCTCTGTTGAGATGACCAGTTCAAGTACAAAATTCGAGGTATCAAAATTTGATGGTACAGGGAATTTTGGGTTATGGCAATCTAGGGTAAAGGATTTGTTGGCACAACAGGGTCTTCTGAAAATTTTGAAGGCGGATAAGCCAGCTAATCTGGAAGAGGAAGATTGGGAAGATTTGAAGGAGCGTGCGGCAGGAACCATTCGGTTATGCCTAGACGATGGAATTGTGTATCACGTTATGGCCCTGGAAGCCCCAAAAGAAATTTGGGATAAATTGGAAACTCAGTTCATGGAAAAATCTCTAACGAACAAACTGTATCTAAAGCAAAGGCTTTATGGGCTTAAGATGGAGGAGGGTTCAGACTTGGTGTATCATATTAATGTCTTCAACCAGATAATCTCAGATCTGGCCAGGCTTGATGTCAAGATTGAAGATGAAGACAAGGCGATGATCTTGCTATGTTCATTACCTTTTTCCTTTGAACATCTGGTGACTACTCTAACATACGGGAAAAGCACGATTAAATACAGCGAGATCTCTGCGGCCCTGCAGGCTCATAATAAGCGCTTGCAGAGTGGATCGTCTGTTGGTGAAAGTTTGTATGCTAAAGAGGGTCAGGATCGTGGAAGGAAACAAGAGAAGGGTAATTCTGGGAGGAGAAACTCTAGGTCTAAGTCCAGAAATAGCAGGAAAATCCGGTTTTACAAGTGTTATGAGATTGGGCACATAAAGAGAGATTGTCCAAAGTTGAAAAAACAACAAGAGGCGACGAACGTGGTGCATGCTGATGACTCAGATTATAGTGAAGGTGATGTTCTAGCAGTTTCATCGAGTAAGTTGTCAGATGCTTGGATTCTAGACTCAGGATGCTCTTATCATATTACACCTAACAGGGAGTGGTTCACAACCTATAAGTCAGGTACTTTCGGTTCTGTTTTTCTGGGTGATGATAGATGTCATAATATCATAGGTATTGGTGATGTTAACATCCAGATGTATGATGGTATTGTCAGAACTTTGCATGATGTCAGACATATACCGGGATTAACTAAGAACCTGATTTCTCTTGGCAGTTTGCATGCTAATGGTTTTATTCATAAGTCTGAGAGTGATAAGGAAACCATTAAAATTAGTAAGGGTGCTTTAACTGTGATGAAAGGGAAAAGGACCACAGGGAACATTTATAGGTTGTTGGGTAATACTGTTGTAGGTGGAGCACATTCTGTTGAGTCTAGTGATGATACTACTAGGTTGTGGCATTTACGTTTGGGTCACCTTGGTGAACGTGGTCTGTCTGATTTGCAAAAAAGGAATTTGTTAAAAGGAGTTAAATGTTGTAAGCTAGATTTCTGTGAGTTCTGTGTCCTTGGGAAACAGACTAGAGTCAGTTTTTCTACTGGGCAGCATAAAACTAAAGGGATTCTGGATTATGTGCATTCTGATGTTTGGGGACCTACCAGGGAACCTTCAATGGGTGGCTCTCGATATTATGTTACATTTACTGACGATTTTTCTAGGAAAGTCTGGGTGTATTTCTTGAAACATAAATCTGAAGTGTTTGAGAAATTTAAGTTGTGGAAAGCTGAGGTTGAGAACCAGACTGGAAGAAAAATCAAGTACCTGAGGTCTGACAACGGGACGGAATATACTGAGAAAGAATTTCAGAAATTCTGTGCAGAACATGGAATTCAAAGGCACTATACAGTGCGTAAGACACCACAACAGAATGGTGTTGCTGAGCGGCTGAATAGAACCATTGCTGAGAGAGCAAGGTGTCTCAGATTTAATGCTGGGCTCTCTAAGTGTTTTTGGGCAGAAGCAGTGAACATGGCATGTTACTTGATCAATAGATCACCACGGACATCACTTGGTGGCAAGGTTCCTGAGGAGGTTTGGTTAGGTAATCCTGTAAGTTTTGATCACTTACAAGTTTTTGGTTGTCCTAGCTATGTTCTTATTCCAGGTGATGAGAGGTCAAAGTTAGATCCCAAGTCGAAGAAGTGCATCTTTTTGGGTTACAAGAAAGGTGTAAAAGGATATAAGTTTTGGGATCCTGCAACCAAAAAGGTGGTGATTAGCAGAGATGCAGTGTTTGATGAGAATTTCATGCTCCAGCCAAAGAAAGAAGATACACTAGTTGATGGTTCTAGCACAGTAGAAGTGGATATGGATCGTGTACCTTTGAGTGCGAAAGTAGTTAATCCACCTACGATTGAGACTCAAGAAGTTGCAGATCCTACATCTGTAGCAGGTTCGAGTTCAGAAAATTTACAAGATTACAGTTTGGCTAGAGATAGACCAAGACGCACCAATGTCAAACCACCTAGTAGGTATGGGTTTGAGGATATGGTTTCTTTTGCACTTCTTGTTTCTAATAAGGATCCAGTTACCTTTCAAGAGGCTATTTCTAGCCAGGAGAAAGATAAATGGATGGCAGGTATGATTGAGGAGATGGAGTCTTTACATCAGAATCATACTTGGGAGTTAGCTCAACTTCCTCAAGGAAAGAAGGCTATAGGGTGCAAGTGGGTCTATAGGAAGAAGCCACCAGTATCAGAAAAAAAAGGGGAAAGGTTTAAGGCTAGGTTAGTTGCGAAGGGGTTTTCTCAATAGAAGGGGATAGATTATGATGAGGTTTTCTCTCCTGTTGTTAGACATACTTCTATCAGATTAGTACTTGCTTTGGTAGCCATTTGGGATTTGCATTTGGAACAAATGGATGTGAAAACTACTTTTTTACATGGTGATCTATATGAGCAAATTTACATGAAGCAACCTGAAGGGTTTGTTAAACCCGGAGGTGAGCATCTGGTTTGTCGACTCAAGAGGTCTTTGTATGGGCTGAAATAGGCTCCACGGCAATGGTACAAGCGGTTCGATGCTTACATGATTCAAATTGGTTATACACGTTGTGAGTATGATTGTTGTGTCTATGTTAAAAGCCTTGCTGATGGTTCTTTTATTTTTCTGTTACTGTATGTGGATGATATGTTGATCGCTGCTAAGAGTATGAATGATATTACTGCATTGAAAGTTTTGTTGGGTTAGGAATTTGATATGAAAGATTTAGGAGTTGCACAGAAAATTCTTGGCATGGAAATTCACAGGGATAGAGGTGCAAGAAAGTTGTGGCTAACTCAACAGAGTTATATAGAGAAAATTCTTGACAGGTTTGGGATGAGTAAGTCTAAACCGGTTAGTACCCCTTCGGCTAATCATTTTAAACTCTCATCCAGTCAGTGTCCCCAAACAGTTAGTGAGATTGAAAATATGGCAAAGGTTCCTTATGCTAGTCCAGTTGGCTGTTTAATTTATGCAATGGTTTGTACTCGACCTGATTTGGCTCATGCTGTTAGCCAAGTTAGTAAGTTCATGTCTAAACCTGGGAAGCAACATTGGGAAGCAGTTAAATGGATTCTTCGGTACTTAAGGGGCACTATGAAGCATGGTATTGTATTTGGGAGTCAACAGAATGAGCATGTACTCATGGGATATGTGGATTCTGATTATGCTGGTGACATGGATAATAGACGTTCTACAACAGGGTATGTTTTTACTCTTGGGGGTGGTCCTATTTGCTGGAGATCATCAGTTCAGTCTATTGTAGCTTTGTCTACAACTGAAGCAGAATACATGGCTGTGACTGAGGCAGCTAAAGAAGCTTTGTGGCTTTCAGGTTTGATTAAGGAGTTGGGTATTGAGCAAGATGGAGTTCAATTACACTGTGACAATCAAAGTGCCATTTTCTTAGCTAAAAATCAAGTATACCATGCCAGAACCAATCCACCCCAGGTTCTAGCGCGCTCCAGTGACTTATTCTTCTGTGCCTGAAAGCCAAATATATCTGTTCAGCGAGAGATGCTGGTAACCCACTCCAACGCGTTGAAATACAATACATATAGAGATATATATAGATATACGAAAACCATTTTGAAGCATGAAGATATATCCTACGAGACTCTAGCTTTTAAAACCGGGAATGACTCGACAGATAAGGCTAGACACAAGCAACAGTTATAATCAAGCGTATACAATCCACAACAGGCAAGACAGATAAAGCTGATCACGAATAATAATCATAACCCAACATACACAATCCCTAGCATAAATCCCATAGTCAAATCCCCCAATATACTCATAAATACAACTCATCCATATCTCCTCAAATGGCACACTTTGTTGGCGCCACAGGACCAATCGCATGCCCATACATGAGGGTCAGCGCATATAGCTCTGACACGGCCCCGCAGCACCCTGCCCCGTCTCACATTACGGAGGAGCCGATCGTAATCGGCTGATGGACCTTTGTCCTACATAATATTTATATACCTGACCGGTCTTTACCAGTCTGGTTAACAGTTGAGATGGTTCTCAGCCCATTCAACTGCCCGTATAGTGGACCTTTGTCCTATATAATATTTATATATCTGACCGGTCTCTACCAGCCTGGTTAACAGCCGGTATGGTTCTCAGCCCACCCGACTGCCCGTATAGTGGGACTTAGTCCTATATAATATTTATATACCTGACCGGTCTCTACCAGCCTGGTTAACAGCCGGTATGGTTCTCAGCCCACCCGACTACCTGTATAGCCCGATTGATCTTAACCAACTCGGGTTACATGCACACATAACACATAGCAAGTACATGCAACCCATATTAACACATTGGGAAGGGGGAGAAAACGTATAACAAAACCTATGCGTGATCCATCACATACTAAGAATAGTCCTAGGGGGTTCATACTGCTTCTACCTAGGTCAACGGGATACCAATTCAACTAGCATGCAATATAATAGACTCATAAACCTATGAACGGTACCCGAAATATCAAACTAGACAAAGGCACGATTAACGGAGTCCGTTGGGACACCACGGGGGACGGGGAAACATCAAACGGGGAAGCCGAGATCCCGAGGGGGATGATTTTCCAGCGGGTAGCCGGTGGGTGGGGGGCCACCCGCCGGCTGCCCGCCGGGTATTACTGTTCCGGGCAGCGGGTCGCCGGCGGGCAGCTGCCCGCCCGTCGGCCGCCCGCTGCCGGAGATGTGTTTTCCGGCCGTGGGTAGGTGGCGGGTCCCCTACCCCCCACCTACCCCCCACTGACTCTTATCACACAATTTCGCCCCGGGAACCATTGTGGAACCCGAAACCATGCTTAGACACTTTACAACGCAATTAACGACAACACGTAGACAATTAACGGATCAAACACGAGGAACGAACGGCACATAACCTATCATGCTTTTCTAAACATAATCAACACCCAAGCATGCGATTACCCCACCCGATAACCCAAGAATAACATCATACGATATAACCTAGGGTTCTAATCACTTTTATATCAACAAGAATACGATTTGCCTTCTAATTGCAAGATTCGGTAAGAATAACACGTAAGCGTCAAGGGTATCACACAATTATCAAGAACAACACATAATCATCAAGAACTCCATATAATCATCAAGAACATCATAATTATCAAGAATCTCCCAATATCAAGATTATCAAGATCCCTCATGGGATCATCACATCAATCATCCATAATAATCATCACAAGTCATTAATACACAATAATATGGGGAAACCCTAAGGGGGAATCATAACTATGAAAATAGGTTTTGTTGAGACATGGGTTACCTCTTAGCCTTAATTAATTCCTTGGCTATGAAGGGTCTTTCTTTAAGCTTTCTTGCTTTCTTGATTTCTTCTACGGGGATTCTTGGAGCTCTTTTGGGGTGGTGGGGCGTTATTCTTGTGGGGAGGTTCTAGGTGCCTCTTAAGTCCCCTATTTATATATTTAGGAGTCCTAATTAGGAACTAATATTATAGGCTTGCTAATTCTATTCCTTTTGGAACTAAGGATCGGGTTTAGGGGTTGGGTTTATATATGAGGGCCCATGGACTATGGTGGGCCTTTTTCCCTAATTAATCATTATAATTTATTCTTTCTCTTGGGTTATTGATTAATTAATTAAATGGTTTTAGGGGTCGTAACACGGGGTGTTACACTTTTCTCCTAAAGGGGCATATATGTGAAGGTGGAGATGGTGAGATAAGTCTTTTCTCCTAAGGGACATATTTTCTAAGGTGGAGATTTGTTGAGTTATCTTTTTCTCCTAACGGCCATATTTGCGAAGGTGGAGATAGTCTTTTCTCCTAAAGGGGCATATATGTGAAGGTGGAGATGGTGAGATAAGTCTTTTCTCCTAAAGAGCATATTCGTCAAGGTGGAGATTTGTTGAGTTATCATTTTCTCCTAAAGAGCATATTCGCCAAGGTGGAGATTGTTGAGTTTGTCTCATATGGGAATTAGGAATATGAGTTTGTCTCATACTAGGAATAGGATTGAAACGGGTAGACCCATTGTATAGGGATTAGATGCCTATAAATATATTGGTTGTATCCCTAAGGAGTGTGTCACCACTATTACCATCACTATGAATAAAAGAATCGTTTCACTCCAGTGGATGTAGGCACATTGCCGAACCACGTAAATCTTGCCTTCTTTCCCTTTCTGCCATTATTATTGTTTCTTGTTCTTGTTAATCTCAACATAGGTGCATTTGGATTAATTATCAGTTAAACATGATAGAGTGTTACTTTGTGTACGTTGTTTTGAATATGAGAAAACCTTACCAAGCCAGTTGCAGATAAGATCATATTCGCCCACGTAAACCAACAGATTGATACCAGCAGATTCAGTATATGCTTCAAGAAAAGATAGTAAGTTACATTTATGTTCCCAACTTTCTGCATTATCCGGTCATAGAGGGGTTGGCAGCGTCTAAACACGACATCACCACAAGCAGATCCACCATTACCATAAGTGTATTTTTGTCTATATTTTTTCCCCTTCTTGAACCCTTTTAATTTGTGAATTGCCTAAAAACTTGTGTGAATTGTGACTACGTTATGTTGGTTTTATTCAAGGTGCAATCATTCACAACAAGTGAGGAATTCAATGATTTGTGGGAAGATACGAGCAATTTTGGGACCAAGAGATCAACCAAAGAATTTGGAATGCATTTAGGAATTTTCAGGAGCATCGTACTGCCTCCCGTACGCCCATCCGTCAGCCCGTCCAAGATCTCAAAAAAGCCCTGCCGTACGCCCGTACGCCCTTTCCAATGAACCAAGAGTAAATCGTATTGCCTCAGGGATGGCCGTCCCTAAGGCAGTACCTCTGTGCTCTGTTAATATTTATGCGATTTCTTGGATTTTTGGGGGAAGTTAGAACCCTAAATAGCTAGAACTCATTTCTCTTCATTTCCTTAGACTTTCTTAGCTTAGATTAGTCTAGTATTACATCTCTAACTCATCTAGCAAGCTTGTAAACGTGGATTGGAGTGGGATTCAACCACAAAATCTTTATCTTCAATAGAGAAGCTTATTACTCTTCTTTTAAAGCTTTTGTGCAATGTTTATGATATTTTCTTGTGCTTTGTTGTTATTTATGTTTATGAAGTGTGAGTAGTCCATTTTTGGGCTCAGATTAGGGTGATATTGCCAACCTAGATGCTAAATAGGTGATTATTGCATAAGGGGGAAGATATCTAACCTAGGGTTCATTTGTTTGTGAAGGATTTATGTTGAATCTTGTTAATATTTGGTACGTAACTCTTATTAACTTGCTTTTGGATAGTTTTTCTCCACAATGAAAGTTGGGGGAAAAACTTAAGCCTCTCCTTTCTCTAAACCCATTTTCTTTCTATGAAAATAGGGAAGAATTGGGGGCCTAAATGCTTATGTGCTTTAAGAGCTAGGAATTGATACATCATGAAAGTGGGGCAATCCTTGCCCTAATCTTGTTCTTTAGCTTATGAAAATGGCTTTAAGCTAGGATTTTTATGTGCTATGCCCTTATGTTCCCTTGGTTGATGTTCTCCCCTAATCCCTAAGTTGTTAAAGCATCTAGAAGGCAACATCCCCTAATTTGAGCCCATCTTTTATCATTGTCTTTACTTGTGTTTAAATTGCATTGTCTTAACTAGATTTTTAGCCTTTAATTGTTCACATTACCCAACCATGAATTTGGATTTGCTTGGATTCTTGTGGGTTCCAACACTTTGGTGCCTAGAATTTTAGTTGTCACTCAAGTACGTGCCATAGTCCCAATCCCTTGCGGAACGACAATTTACACTCGTTTACTCACCATCTCTTTCCCGTACATCAACTTTTTGGCGCCGTTGCCGGGGATTGGTTTATTTGGTTGCATTGTGTGATTGCTTTTTCTTTCTAGCATTAGAGTTAGTGAACTCTAAGGAGATCAAGTTTTTATTTTCTTTTATTTTCCTTTGTTCGTTTGTTTTAAATTGTGACTAAGTGTTTCCAAAGTTGTCTTTGCTTGAGTTTGGTTTTAGGTAATTCTCTTGGTGCATGCAAACTAGGTTTAAAGGGAGCCAAGACCTTCACCCTTTCATCCAAGAACTCTCTAGGGAGCTAAGGAGACAAAGAAGAGACTTGCTCGGTTGGTTGAAGGAGTTTGAATCATTGGAGATAATTAGATAAACATGGAGACGGATGATACTAGCAATCCCGGTCAAATCTCACCCAATGATACAAGCACCCAACATAGCCCGAGACAAGGGGAATTCAATGAAGCTCATGCTAATGTCTCTCAAGTGCCAATTACTCCCGTTCAAATACCGGCACAAGACTTCATGGCAAATCCTAATGTCAATCCTTATGTTGGAGGAGGAATGGGGTTTCCACAAGCTCAATACCCATTTTATCCTAACATGAATCAAGGGGGAATTCCTCAAGGGTATGGGCAACCTCAATAACAACAAGGTCAAAGGGATTGGTATGCAAAATCTTCTTCACCAAATGCACCCCAACTTTACCAATCCTATGTTCAACATGCCTCAAAACTTTCCACAAGGAGTTCCTCCTATTTTTTATCAAGGTGTTCCACAAAGACAACCCATGGCGGCCCATCTAGCTACGGAGTTTGAAGAAGAGGATTGCATTGTTTACTCGGGGGTGGATGCCAACAATTTTGAACTCAAGACTTCTCTTATCCAAATGGTTCAAGCCAATCAATTTGGAGGTTCAAGGGTTGAGGATCCTAAGGCTCATGTTGTCCACTTTGATCGGATTTGCCAAACAATCAAGATGAATGGGATTCCTAGTGATGCAATCAAGTTGAGGCTATTCCCTTTTTCATTGAGAGACCAAGCATTGAGTTGGCTCAATTCCTTTCCAGCTAACCATTTCACAACATGGGAACAACTTTACAAGGCCTTTATGCAATAGTATTACCCTCCTTCCAAGGCCGCCAAATTGAAGAAACAAATTCAAAATTTCCAACAATTTGGAAATGAGAATTTGTATGAAGCTTGGAAAAGATTTAAGGAGTTGAGAAGACAATGTCCAAAGAATTTGCTTACTCCGGGGGATTTCATCTCATCCTTTTATGAGGGATTGTTGGATAGCTCAAAAACCATTCTTGACACATCTTCATTTGGAGGCATTTTTATTGATATGGGTCCGGAGTATGGTGAACAATTGATTGAGAGGATCACTTCTAACATGGCATATTGGTATAATGAAAGAAGTGACCCACCCAAGAAAGAAAAAACTGCCAGGATGTTTGAGGTTGAAGAAAAGATGGCTATGCAAGCTCAATTGGATTCAATTCAACACATGCTCAAGAATATGATGCAAGCTGCGAAGCAAAATGTGCAAGCGGCAAGCGGTGACTCAAACTCCTCAAGTATCTTACATGTCTACTTCGTATTCCTTGCCACAAGCTACTTGCAATTCTCCCGGTTCTCAAAGTATGGCACTAGTAGCTTGTTGTGCCATATGTGGAGGAGCTCATGCTTCTCAAGCTTGTCAATTGTTAGATCCTAGTGGCCAGGGCTCTTTATCAAACATGGAGCAAGTGGATATGATTGGGTATTCTAGACCCCAAAACCAAGGGCAAGGATATGGAAATTATGGTCAACAAGGGAGGAATCAATTTGGATCTTCTTGGAACAATCAAGGTGTGCAAGGAAGGAATCCACCTCTGGGTTTTCAAGGAAATCAAGAAAATAGAGGTGGAAATCAATTGAATCAACAATGGAGAGGAAATCAAGGACATGGAAACAATCAAAATCAACAAGGATCCTCTCAACCTTCTCAAGATGTGGACATGAAGACATTAATGAACATGATGATGTCTCAAATGTCTCAAATTAGCAAGTTGCAATCTCAAGTGGAGAATCTACAAGCCCAAAATCAAGGAGGAGGCACTCAAGGGTCTACACAAGCCTCATCTTCTAGTGGTAGACTTCCGGCTAACTCCAAAAATCCTAGAAATCATGTCAACACCATCACCACTAGAAGTGGAAAATCTTTGAAAAATCCACATTTTTCTTCTAATGATCTTACATTTGAAGAATATGTTCAGAAATATGAAGATGAAGAAAGGCCAAATGAAGAGGAAATTGAAAAAATTCTTGAAAGTGAAAATGATGATGAGCCTCTAATTCAAAGAAACAAGTCAAAAGGGAAGGAGCCAATTCAAGAAGGAAACAACTCAAGTAAGAAGAATGTGAACAAGGGAAATCAAATAGATGACTCGGTGATTCCTTGCAACTTATTGCCATTTCCACAAAGGTTGTGGAAAACAAAAGAAACCGATAGAGAAAACAAGTTTAAAACAATGCTTGATAAGTTGGATATTTCTATGCCCTTTGTGGAAGCCATTACTCAAATACCTTCATACAAAAAATTCTTGAAGGATATTTTGAGTAACAAGAAGAGATTAGAGAAGAGTGCGGTGGTGGACCTTAGTGAGGGAGCTTTGACATGTGCCGTTCTCCAAAAGCATTTGCCTCCTAAATTGAAAGATCCGGGAAGTTTTTCTATCCCTTGCATTGTTGGAGGATTTGTGGTGAGCCGTGGTTTGTGTGATCTTAGGGCTAGTGTGAGCCTTTTGCCATACTCTCTATGCAAGAGGCTCAATCTTAGAGAGCCCAAGCCTACTACCATGACACTCCAAATGGCGGACCGTTCCATCAAGCGCCCGGTGGGAGTACTTGAAGATATCCCGGTCATGATTGATCAATACTACATCCCGGGAGATTTCGTGATTCTTGACATAGAGGAGGATGCCAAGGTTCCAATAATCCTTGGTAGGAAATTTCTAGCCACCGCCGGGGCAATCATAGATGTCAAAAGAGGGAAGCTTGTGATGGAGGTAGCCGGCCATAAAATTGAGTTTGACATCTTCAAGATGGCCAAACACCAACCTTCTTACATTGATGAGTGCAACATGGTGGAAGCCATAGAAGAATGTGTTGGAGAGGTACTTGGGATTGGAGGAGATAACCAAGGAAGCTCTCTTGTGGGAAATTTCTTTGAAAAGTTGGGAGAGTGCACCCAAATCAAGGTGGATCTTGGCATGCAAGAGTGGAGAAGCAACTTTGAAAACATGACGGGAGCTCTTGCCATTCTTGAACCCCTTGGAGAGGAGCATGCCCCAAAGGTAGAATTAAAACCTTTACCTCCAAATCTCCGGTATGCTTTTCTTGGCTCTAACTCTTCTTACCCGGTGATTATTAATTCTTCTTTGCACAATGATGAAATTGATAACTTGCTTAATGTGCTTAGAAAACATAGGAGGGTAATTGGGTACACAATTGGGGATTTTATTGGCATTGATCCTAAGTATTGCATGCATAAAATCTATTTAGAGGACAATGCCAAGCCCATTGTGGAGCCACTTAGGAGGTTGAATCCTAACTTGAAAGATGTGGTAAACAAAGAGATTCTAAAGTTGCTTGAGGCCGACATTATATACCCTATTTCGGATAGCAAGTGGGTTAGTCCCATACATGTTGTTCTGAAAAAGGGCGGTATAACGGTCATTGAAAATGAGAATAATGAGTTGATTCCTACTAGACTTGTTACCGGGCACCGAATGTGGATTGATTATAGAAAATTGAACAAGTCTACTAGGAAGGATCACTTCCCCCTCCCATTTATTGACCAATTGCTTGAAAGAATGTCCAAAAACGAATATTTTTGCTTCTTATATGGATTTTCAGGATATTTTCAGATTTCTATCCACCCCGAGGACCAAGAGATGACCACGTTCACATGCCAATATGGCACCTTTGGCCTTTAAAAGGATGTCATTTGGTTTGTGTAACGCGCCGGCCACTTTTCAAAGATGCATTATGGCTATTTTCTTCGAGTTGGTGGTGGAGATCATGGAGGTGTTCATGGATGACTTCTCCGTTTATGGGAAGTCATTTGATGAATGTTTAATCAATCTTGACAAAGTTTTGTGTAGGTGCCAAGAGGTGAATCTCGTGCTAAATTGGGAGAAGTGCCACTTCATGGCAACCGAAGGAATAGTTCTTGGGCACAAGGTCTCGGCAAGAAGAATTGAGGTGGACCCGGCAAAGATAAAAGTCATATCAAAATTGCCACCGCCGACCACCGTTAAGGGAGTGAGAAGTTTTCTTGGGCATGCCGGGTTCTATAGAAGATTCATAAAAGACTTTCCCAAGCTTGCAAAACCCCTTACTCATTTGCTTGCCAAAGATGTTGATTTTCATTTTGATGAGTCTTGCCTTGTAGCATTTGAAAAGTTGAAGGAGGCCCTATGCCATGCTCCCATCATTCAACCCCCCGATTGGAGTCTTCCGTTTGAGTTAATGTGTGATGCAAGCGACTATGCGATTGGGGCGGTGTTGTGCCAAAAGAGGAACCAGAGCTACCATGTGATCCACTATGCAAACCATACGCTTGATGAAGCCCAAGTGAATTATGCAACAACCGAGAAGGAGCTCCTAGAGGTGGTGTTTGCCATGGACAAATTCCGGTCTTATCTCATGGGAAACAAGGTGATAATTCACACCGATCATGCGGCTTTGAAGTACTTGTTCCAAAAAGAAGATGCTAAGCCGAGGTTGATCCGTTGGTTCTTCTTCTTCAAGAGTTTGATTTGGAAATAAGAGACAAAAAAGGCTCCGAGAATGTTGCGGCGGACCACTTTTCAAGACTTGAAGGCCACAAGGAAAATGAGTTGCCCATTGATGACTCATTCAAGGGAGAAACACTTTTCATTTTGAGTGAATTGGGAAGAAACTATGTGTCTTGGTCCGCGGACATTGTGAATTACATTGTGAGCGGGTATATCCCAAAGGATTTCAATTTCAACAAGAAAAAGAGATTTTTGCATGATGTGAGAGATTACTTTTGGGATGAGTCCCTATTGTTTAAGAGATGTGCTGATGGAATTGTGAGAAGGTGCATACCGGAGGAGGAATTTCTAAGTGTTTTGAGTCATTGCACTCTTCATCATATGGAGGACACATGAGTGCCGACCGCACGGCTCTAAAAGTGCTATAATCCGGTTTATTTTGGCCTACTTTGTTTGCTACCGCTAGAGAATTTGTGCGTAAGTGTGACAATTGCCAAAGGACCGGCAACATTGGAAGAAGACATGAGATGCCTCAAAAGGGTATACTTAAAGTGGAGTTGTTTGATGTGTGGGGGATGGACTTCATGGGTCCATTTCCTCTTTCTTTTGGGAATGAGTATATCCTTGTAGCGGTGGATTATGTGTCAAAGTGGGTAGAAGCAATTGCAACTCCGAAGAATGACTCAAAGACCATGCTCAAGTTTGTCAAGAAGAATATATTCTCCCGGTTTGGCATGCCAAGAGCTTTAATAACCGACAATGGCACACGTTTTTGCAACAAGCTTTTGGAGAAACTTCTTCTCAAGTGTGGTATTCATCACCGGCTCTCTACGCCCTACCATTCACAAACTTGTGGGCAAGTAGAGTTGGCCAATAGGGAAATCAAATATATTCTTGAAAAGGTTGTGAGTCCAACAAGAAGGGATTGGTATTTGAAGCTAGATGATGCATTATGGGCCCTAAGGACCGCATTCAAGACTCCAATTGGTGTTTCTCCGTTTAAACTTGTGTTTGGGAAGTCATGTCATTTGCCGGTTGAGTATGAACACAAGGCATATTAGGCAGTTTCAAGGTTAAATTTGGATGAGGACTCAGCGAGAGAAAAGAGGTTGTTACAATTGAATGAGCTTGAAGAGTTCCGAATGGATGCCTATGAAAATGCAAGGATCTACAAGGAAAGGACCAAGTAATTTCATGATAAGAGAATTTTGAGAAGGAACTTTGAACCGGGGAACCAAGTGTTACTCTACAATTCAAGGCTCAAGTTGTTTCCCGGTAAACTCAAATCAAGATGGTCGGGCCCTTTCCGAGTAGTGGAACATTACCCATCGGGCGCTGTTTCAATTGTGGCTAAGTCGGGAGATCCTTTTATGGTGAATGGGCAAAGATTGAAGCTCTTTAATGAGCCGAAATTCAAAGAAAAGGAGGCCAATGCGGTTTGGGATCTCTTCTATCCCACCTACACTTGAATATGAAAGGTCAAGTCGAGCTAGCGACGTTAAACGTAACGCTTCATGGGAGGCACCCCATGTTATCTTTTAAATTCTTGTATTTTTCTTTATCGTAATCTTTAATTCCTTATATGTTTTTGATGTGTTTTAATTAGAGTTAGAAGTGTGTCTCTTGTGTTTTTGTGAGTCCCTTGATCCTTTATTGTGTCAATTTTGCTTGCATATGTGGGATGGATTTATTGGTTTTAAGTGGATTTAGTTGAGGAGTAATTGTGTGAGCATTGATCTTAATTGTTTAGGAAGGTGTTGGGAATGGTTTAAGTTTGCATGGTGATATTTTGGTTAAGTTTTTATCTTTTAGAGCCTTAGTTGTTGAGTGATTTGCAAGCTATTAAAATCTGAGCTTGTTGGTACTGCTACTGGTACGCCCATCCCATGGGGCGTACGTTTTTTTTTTTCTCCCAAAACCAGCGCTCACTGGAAAGCCACAAAAAATCGTACTGCTACTGGTATGCCCATCCCTGAGACCATCCTTGTCTATAACTTTGAAGCAGGTAGCGTACTGCTACTGGTACGCCCGTCCCACAGGGAGTACGAAATTTCTGCCCAAAACCAGTGCTCACTGGAAAGGCACCAAAAAATATGGTACTGCTACTCGTACGCCCTTCCCTAAGGCCATCCGTGTCTATAAAGATGAAGCAGGTAGCGGACGGGCTGGCGTACGGCCATCCCTTGGCCAGTACGTAACTTTCTCTAAAAATTAAAAAAAAAAAATCAAATTTTTTCTTTTGTAGCAGCTTTTTTGTTTCATTTTCCCTTTCCCGTGACCCCCCCTTTTATCTGCAAAATATTCTGTACCAATCTTCCAATATTCCCTGAATCTTCTCCATTCCCTAAGCCTCCTCTCTTCCTTTCTTTTCTCCCTTCTTTCACGCCACACACACTCACATTTTCTCTCCAACTTTCCCAGTTCAACCAGTGTGAAACCTGAGCTGATATCTCCTCCTTTCATTTTCTTTGCAATTCTTTTTAAGTATTCAATGTATTTTTCTCCTTTTTTTTTTTTTTGTGTTTGTGCTTTGATATAGACTTGAATTAACTAGTATGCTTTAGACTATTTAGTTTATGCATTTTTTGTTTTTATAACACAACTTCGGTCCTTAATGAATGTTTTAATCTTTGTTGTTTTTCATTTCCTTATGCTTACTACCCATGTTTAGAAAATCCACTTTGTTCTTATGTCGCTGATTTGGCAATCCTAACTGCCATCTCCTACTACCCCTGCAAGCTGGATCGTATATATTATATAGACCGAGCTTGGACATGAAACCATTGAAGGTAGTAGGAGCATGTGGATTAGTAAAAACATCAGCTAGATGGCTGGCAGTGGGAACATGTATCAGTTTGAGGACTCCATTCCGCAACGTTTCCCTTATAATGTGATAGTCTAACTCAATGTGATTAGTCCTTTCATGAAAAACAGGATTTATTGTCAGTGAATAGGGTAGCAAGTGAATCAAGATTAACTTCTAAGGACTCAAGGAGATAGCACAACCATTGTATCTCACAAGAGGCCGCAACAATGGCTCTATATTCAGCTTTTGAGGAAGACCGAGATACAGTCAACTGTTTCTTGGATTTCCAGGAGATTTGAGCTGATCCCAAGAACATACAGAAACCAAATACTGATCGCTTGGTATCCGGACACGCAGCCCAATCTGAATCGAAAAACCCCTTCAGGTGGAGTTGGTTGGTTGCTGGAAAGAACATGCCTTGAGTAGGAACACCTTTGATGTATCTCAAAACTCTATGAGCAGCCTGTAGGTGAATGTCTGTAGGATAGTCTAAAAATTGTGATAACTTCTGTGTGGTGAAGCTGATATTTGGTATAGTGATAGTGAGGTATAGCAACTTTCCCACTAGTCTCCTGTATTGAGTGATATCAGCCAGGGAAATACCACTTTCTTTGCTCAGCTTTGTTGAAGGAATCACGGGAGACTTGACTGGTTTACTATGCGTAAAACCAGTACTGTCTAACAACTCCAAGGCATATTTCCTTTGATTAACAAAAATTCCTTTCTTCCTTATATCAATCTCCAATCCCAAGAAAAATTTGAGCGGACAAAGGTCTTTAATCTAAAAGGCACTGTGAAGATGCTCCTTCATCTTCTAAATCTGTATCTTGTCTGGACTGGCCAGGACCGCATGTAACACCCCGTGTTATGGCCGCTAACCCAAACTAATTATTTAATTACTTACCGTTAAAAGAGAATAGAATTCCCTTAATTAATTAAGAAGGTCCACCATGGATCATGGACCCTTATCCCTAAACCAAACCCTTAGTCCTATAAGGAATAGAATAAGTAAATCCCTACCATTCAGACCCTAATTGGGACTCTTAGATATATATATATATTTATATATATATATATATATATATATATATATATATATATATATATATATATATATATATATATAAGGACATAGGAGGCACCTAGAATTCACACCACAATAGATTCCACCACACAAGAATTCCCCTATCACCAAACGTAGGAGAAATCACTAAGAGGAGATCTTAGAGAAAGAACCTTAGTAGCCAAGGATTCTAATTAAGGCTAAGAGGTGACCCATGTCTCAACAAAATCTATTTTTCTTGCTATAATCTCCTTCATTGGCTCCTTCGATATATGATTCTGTGTTTATATCTTGATAAGGCTTTTCTTGAGATTGATATGATGATTATGAGATAATCTTGATGTTTATGGGATGATCTTGATATTTATGTGTTGATCTTGATGCTTATGTGATAATCTTGATGTTCTTGAGTTTAAGATAAATGATGATCTTGTGCTTTAAATATGACTAGAGCCCTAGGGTTAAAATCGTGGATTTCGTATTGTGATATTTTTGGTATGTCTGGGTGGGATTTTGTATGTTCGGGTATTGAGTCTTGATATGTTTAGAAGTCATGTTAGGATGTATTTAATGTGATTCTTGGTTTTAATCCATTACTTGATTACGTGGTGTCGTCGTTTGTGTTTAAATGTGTTTGGACATGGTTTCGGGTTCCACGAGGGATCTTGGGACCGAATTATTACATAAGAGTCAGTGGGGGGTAGGTGGGGGCAGGGGTACCCGCCACCTACCCGCTGCCCCATGAAGGCCGCCCGGCAGCGGGCAGCCGACGGGCATGCGACTGCCCGCCGGGCACCCGCTGTCCCGTGTTGTGCAGCCGGCGGGTGGCCCTCCACCCGCCGGCCACCCGCTGGAATTCCAGTGTGGAACATGGTGGTTTTCCCTGTTTGATGTTCCCCGTGTCCCATGGTGTCCCATTGGACCCCGTTTGTCGTGCCTGAGTCTAGTTTTATGTTTCGGGTACCGTTCGCAGGATAAGAGAGTCTTGTATATTGCATGCTAGTCGAATTGGTATTGTAACACCCCCCAAAAACAAGGCCCAATTGAAGCCCTAACACAAGCAGATTAACAACAAAACTAGCACAGCGGAAGATAAACGGAAACTGGATAAAAGAAATCCAAAAAGGGGTGTTATGCCACGTATACCACACTAGGTAACGCTAAGGCAACAATCTGCAAGTGTATAATACTATCCCAATACATCAATCTAAAACAGTCTAAAAACATTGCCGCACAGGCCACAAGGACACAAAGGTGCTAAGCTACCAGGCTCTAGACATCGCTCTCGTCTAAACATGACCAGAAAGATACAAAGATAAACATGGGACGACGCCCGGTCAGCGAATAATGCTGGTAACCCACCAATACCGTTAAGTATCATAAATAGGTAGATATAAGATATAAAAACCATTTTCGAAACGGAATACATATATATAAGTCAAAGGCCAAGATCACCAGTCAACACAAGACTCATCACTCTCAAGACCACACGGGAACACATCCCAAACCACAAAGGTTAACCACACACAAGGATAAAGACTCACCCAACGGCAACACATGCCAAAACAACGCAAGCCTCCGTGACTACACGCGTCACGAGAGAAAATCACACAACGCCGGCTTTACAAGCCCTCGCAACATCACCCATCGCGAGTTGGTATGCCTTCCTTATGCCCTGTTCCAACCTTATGGCTACCCCCAACCTTGTATCTTCTTTCTAACCATTACCTCCAGGATCCCCTGTACAGCCAAGTCCAACCTTATTCTGCCGGGACCGTCGTCCCCCACCTATAACCACCAACGAACCACCACCAATCACGGCAACACATGCCCGGATAACACATGTTATCCCCCAATCACGTGGACCCATCACTCAGGCCACAACTCTATAATAACGTCACGGCCACCACGAGGACCGCTGCAATACCTTGGTGACTAGTGTCCCATACCACTAATTGTGCAATCCAGGTAAAGCCACACACACCACACCTCAACAGAAATCAATCAAAGGATTGCAATGAAGGTATGAAACATACTCAATCAAGGAACGGGTCACAACCCAATAACATCAACGATGAATAACACAAGTTATCATCAACCAAACGGAAGGTACAAAGCACACACACGCTAGTATTAAGACAACGAACTAGCATGCTTAACAACGGGGAAACTCAAGATAGTTCCGAGGAACACACAAGACACCTCTTGGTCCAACGAAACACAATGTTGAACACTTAGCACGATTCAAAACACCAAAGTCCTACATGGATACCTACCATATAGTTCTAGACCTACGAAACATCAAGAAGACACTCAAATAGTTCCACAAAAGAACAACGGGAAGCCAAAAGATCAAATACCAAGACAAACAAATCACGGGGAACAAATCCCAAACGACACACCACCGTGTACTCGCGGGTGGACCCACGGGTAGTGCCCCACCCGTGGTTCCGCCCGCGGAAACACTTCCCACGAGGCTGTGTACCCGCGGGTAGACCGACGGGTGGTGCCCCGCCCGCCGTTCCACCCGCGGGAGCACTCCTGTTCCACAACTAATCCCTTCGGGGATTTTTCTTCTCCAAACACAAATTCAAGTCCAAAACATGCCAAATCTCACCAAACACAACAAAATGACTTGAACCATGGAAAATGCCAAGCAATGGCACAAAGGAACCCTAAACACAAGCTCTAGATATGCAATATCACAAGATAAATGCATAAACCCTCACATTTCATAGCAAAACACATGTAGAATCCAAGAAATCACATATAGGTAAACAAAATAGGTTTTGTAGAGCATGGGTTACCTCTTGAAGACCAAAAGACTTCTCTTTACACCACAACAAGTTCTCCACTAGGCTCACTTCTCAAACCCACTTCAAGATCAAACCAAAAGATCATAAAGATCCTACCTTTAAGAAAAAGACAACTAAGATGGAACCAAAAAGACTAGACAAGCTTAGATCTTACCCTCCTAGATGCCCAAATAGGTGAAAGGTTGAATCTTGGAAGCAAAACTTGGAATCTTGACAAGGGTCTCAACTTGGCTTGGAGAATAAGCTACACTTCTTTTCTAGAGAGAAGGTAGAGATATTTTTCTAGAAATTGTAAGGAATGAAATGAAGAAGTCTTCTAGGTTAGGTTACAATACTAACTCTTGGTGAAAAGACAAGGATACCCTTACTAACCCTTAGAAAGTGTAAGGAACAAGGGAACTCCCCTCAAAGCACAAGGTACAACACAACTTAAAGGTTGACTAGTCAAATTCTAGTCCTTGAGTATTAAGAATCAGGATTTTAGGAATTAATTCCTCAAATTGAAATAGGATTAATTACTCAATTAATCCATGGATTGAAATGTGGATTTTTGGGGTGTCACATCCTCTCCCCCTTCAAAGAAGTTTCGTCCCCGAAACTTGGGTACAACGAATTAAAAGCGAACGGTAACAAGGAAACGAAATTGTGACAAGAAATTCAAGAATAGTCCTTTTGGTCAAAAACTCCAAAAGTACTCACAAGGGTTCCAAAGCAAAGAAGAAGGCATTTCGAATTCAAGGATCAGTCAAGAGTTAAGCAAACGAATAGATTGAGCATCAAGAACTCTACCCTCAACACAACCACCAACTTCTAGACAACAACCAATAACTAATCAACCAACTCCAAACACCGACTTACTAAGCTAGCTAAACAACAAGACAACAAGCAAAACAAACAAGCACGCAAGGCAAACAGCAACCTATCACCAAGCTAGCAACAATTAAGAAGGAAACAACAAGGGAAAAGCGAACGGGGTTACCGCAAAACAAACTAAAACTCCTTGCTCTCCGACTCCTCGGCCTCTTCGGACTCCTCTTCGTCTTCGTCCCTGTGGCTAGAACTGGCTTCAATCTGGTCCAGCCTCTGATGCACTGCGACGAACTGCGCCTTCACAAACGCAAAGCCCTCGGCGATCAGACTATTCTGCTGACGAAGCAAAGAGACGACGTCCTGCTCTCTCTTGGTGCGAGCTTCCTTCCTTCTCTGGCTTTCCTCACTGTCTGATTCACTTTCTTCAGCTTCGGCGGTATCCGGTGCTCCTACTTCTTCTTCTTGATCTGCTTCATCCTCAGCTTCTTCGTCACCACCCAAACTCTGGACTGCAAGGCTCAACTTCCCGGCATGGACTCCAAGCTCAGCAGCTAACTCTGCCCGTTCAACAGGTGCTTTCCTTGCAACCTCTTCAAGCGTGATGTACTCACCATCATCCAACTGAAACAGATTACAACTCCGGAGATTGGCGGTATCCAACACCATCTTTCCCACAGCCTTCGGGAGACAACCGTCCACACTAACACCCTTCTTAACCAAGATCCAACTCAGCACCATTCCATACGGCAAACTCTTCCGGTTGTGATCCAGGCAAAACACCATGTGTTGCCACATCAAAGCAGGCAGGTTGAACTTAACCATATTCTTCAGACAGAAAGCAAAGGTGCACTCCAACTTACCCAACAAACTACTCTTGTTGTTATTGGGCAACAAAGAATCGGACACCAACATCACCAAGATCCTTTGTTCCGCAGACAACCACTTCTTTTCCGGCCTAGAGGCTTGAGTGAAACCACTCGTACGGCCCAAAAGATAGCTCAAATAGTCACGGTACCCCATGGTATCCGTACTAATCCAAGAATGACCACTGTACTGAGCCACTCCGGTAGCAGACAATCTCAACAACTGAGCCAACCTCTTCTCAGACAACACAACCTTCACACCTCTCACCTTAGAGGTGATCTCCAACTTATCGCCCTCCTTTGTCACAACCATGTGACGATAAAACTCTTTCACCAAGCTTGGGTAAGTCTCGGCCCTTATGGCGAGAAACCCATCCAACAAACCTTGATACCTAAGCAAATCCAACAAGGAACTAGGAAAATATTCCGGATCAAAAGCTTTACCTTCAAGAACAAGGTAATGGGCATCCACCCATTCCGCTTTCCTAGCCAAACTTGACCTTCTAGGCATGGTAGGAGATGATCCAAAGCTCAACAAACAAAGCCCACAACTTCTTCTTCACACCCACACTCTCACTGCTCCTCTCTCTCTCTCGCACGCTCTCTCTCTCTCTCGCGCTCCCTCTCGGCGACACAACAACAGCGGCTCGGCAGCGGCGGCGGTGCGGCGAAGCTCCGGCGAACGGCGACGGGTGGAAGGGATGTTACGGGTTGGGGATGGGGCTAGGGTGGTTCACGGGTAGGGAGAAGGAAAAAGGAGAAGAGGAGAAAAATTTTGGGGATTTAGGGATTTAGGTGAAATTGGGGAAAAAGATGATTAAATTTGGGGATTTTGGATAAAGAGGAAAAATATGGATGAAAAGGAATTAGAATTGGGTAGGTTCCAAGGAAGATAATTAGCTTAAGTGGTTTAAGGGTTGGGTAGGAAAGAAATAGGCTAAGGTTCGAAACTCAAAGACTACATTCAAACTTTAGGCTTGGCTTTTAAAATAAAACTACACAAGGAGAGGTTTTTGGTATGGATTTTGCTATTCTCCCAAATCAAAGAACACTTGGAAAAATTTAAGAAATGCACAAGGAATGATTAGGCTAAGCACAAGATAACTCAAGGATAGATGGCTACCACACAACAAGATTTAGATGCCAACTAAAGAAGTCACTTAGCAAGAAGAGTCTAACTAAGCATCCAACGAATTACTAACAAGGAAAACATGCCAAGGTTTGCCAAACAAAGACAACTACGAAACACAAGGGAACACTCAAGGCAACAAAGAGCACAACACTCTCGGGAAACAAGGATAGGCTCGAAAACAAGGGTTACCTGCTAACTCTTCCTCCACCAGACCCTCCGACTCTGCCTGCGAACGCGCCATCACGAAGACTCTTCCCGACGGCCTAGCTCCGACAGCTCCGCGACCTGAACTCCCTCCGGGTGCTCCTCCGGCTCTCGGGGGTGGCGGCAACGCTCTCTGATCGGCAAGCTGGGGACACTTCGCGACTCTGTGACCAGCAACTCCACAATGAAAACACCTAAACGCCTGGCCGTAACAATCTTGGCCCGCGTGCACCTTCCCACACCTACGACAACCAACCGACTTAGCTTGAACCTGAGGCTCCATTCTGATAGGTCCTTGAGAAGAAGATGACGCAACTCTAGCCGGGAAACTCGGTCGGGACTTCTTGAAGATGGAAGAACCCCCACTCTCAACTCTCTTCCTAGCCAACTCCAACGAACCCCTATGAAGCTGCTGAACACGAAACAGATCCGCGGCACACAGATACGCATCCTTAAGAGAACTGGGCCTACTCACCGTCAACTCTTTTCGTGCCTCATAATTCAGACCGGCAACGAAACGCTCAACCTTAGCAAGCTCTGTAGGCACCAGCATCCTCGTGAAGCGCACCATCTCTAAGAACTTCTTGTGGTACTCAACCACAGATAAAGATCCTTGCTGCAGATGAAGGAACTCATCAAACAAGGCGGCTCGCACATGCGCTGGGTAGAACCTTTCGCGCATTCTGTCCTTGAGCGCGGTCCAATCAAACCCAGGCTCTTCAAGGAAGGTCGGACCTTCGTGGACCCACCACAAATCCGCTTCCTGGCAGAAGTAGAACGTTGCCAGTTCTACTCTTCTTTCTTCGGGGCAGCCCACCACGGTGAAGATCTTATCAAACACCCGTAGCCACTCTTCTAGGACTACAGGGTCTTCCTCGCCAGCGAAGGTTGGCGGCCGATGCCCTGACACCAAACGACCTACATCGCGATGCCCAGCAGGAGGAGGAGGAGGCACAGCTTGATTGTTGTTCAGCAAGGCTTCACTGAGCAACTGCATCGTCTGCGTCAGCTGATGGATATTCTGAGCGAGCTGCTCATTGGTCGGGGTCTCTGGGGTGCGAGCGCGGGGACGAGGAGGCATCGCAAACTTCTACAACAACAACAAGATTACCAAAAAGAGCAAACAGGCAAGACAGAAAGCAACACACATCTCACCGCGCAACCTAGATTCCTAAGCCTAACACTTAGCTTCTTAAGGTCGCTTAGAGGTCTCAAAGCACACTTAACCACTTAGAAAGTCTAGACTTAACTCTTCCTAGGTTCAAACCTAGGCTCTGATACCAACTGTAACACCCCCCAAAAACAAGGCCCAATTGAAGCCCTAACACAAACAGATTAACAACAAAACTAGCACAGCGGAAGGTAAACAGAAACTGGATAAAAGAAATCCAAAAAGGGGTGTTATGCCACGTATACCACACTAGGTAACGCTAAGGCAACAATATGCAAGTGTATAATACTATCCCAATACATCAATCTAAAACAGTCTAAAAACATTACCGCACAGGCCACAAGGACACAAAAGTGCTAAGCTACCAGGCTCTAGACATCGCTCTCGTCTAAACATCACCTGAAAGATACAAAGATAAACATGGGACGACGCCCGGTCAGCGAATAATGCTGGTAACCCACCAATACCGTTAAGTATCATAAATAGGTAGATATAAGATATAAAAACCATTTTCGAAACGGAATACATATATATAAGTCAAAGGCCAAGATCACCAGTCAACACAAGACTCATCACTCTCAAGACCACACGGGAACACATCCCAAACCACAAAGGTTAACCACACACAAGGATAAAGACTCACCCAACGGCAACACATGCCAAAACAACGCAAGCCTCCGTGACTACACGCGTCACGAGAGAAAATCACACAACGCCGGCTTTACAAGCCCTCGCAACATCACCCATCGCGAGTTGGTATGCCTTCCTTATGCCCTGTTCCAACCTTATGGCTACCCCCAACCTTGTATCTTCTTTCTAACCATTACCTCCAGGATCCCCTGTACAGCCAAGTCCAACCTTATTCTGCCGGGACCGTCGTCCCCCACCTATAACCACCAACGAACCACCACCAATCACGGCAACACATGCCCGGATAACACATGTTATCCCCCAATCACGTGGACCCATCACTCAGGCCACAACTCTATAATAACGTCACGGCCACCACGAGGACCGCTGCAATACCTTGGTGACTAGTGTCCCATACCACTAATCGTGCAATCCAGGTAAAGCCACACACACCACACCTCAACAGAAATCAATCAAAGGATTGCAATGAAGGTATGAAACATACTCAATCAAGGAACGGGTCACAACCCAACAACATCAACGATGAATAACACAAGTTATCATCAACCAAACGGAAGGTACAAAGCACACACACGCTAGAATTAAGACAATGAACTAGCATGCTTAACAATGGGGAAACTTAAGATAGTTCCGAGGAACACACAAGACACCTCTTGGTCCAACGAAACACAATGTTGAACACTTAGCACGATTCAAGACACCAAAGTCCTACATGGATACCTACCATATAGTTCTAGACCTATGAAACATCAAGAAGACACTCAAATAGTTCCACAAAAGAACAACGGGAAGCGAAAAGATCAAATACCAAGACAAACAAATCACGGGGAACAAATCCCGAACGACACACCACCGTGTACCCGCGGGTGGACCCACGGGTTGTGCCCCACCCGTGGTTCCGCCCGCGGGAACACTTCCCACGAGGCTGTGTACCCGCGGGTAGGCCGGCGGGTGGTGCCCCGCCCGCCGTTCCGCCCGCGGGAACACTCCTGTTCCACAACTAATCCCTTCGGGGATTTTTCTTCTCCAAACACAAATTCAAGTCCAAAACATGCCAAATCTCACCAAACACAACAAAATGACTTGAACCATGGAAAATGCCAAGCAATGGCACAAAGGAACCCTAAACACAAGCTCTAGATATGCAATATCACAAGATAAATGCATAAACCCTCACATTTCATAGCAAAACACATGTAGAATCCAAGAAATCACATATAGGTAAGCAAAATAGGTTTTGCAGAGCATGGGTTACCTCTTGAAGACCAAAAGACTTCTCTTTACACCACAACAAGCTCTCCACTAGGCTCACTTCTCAAACCCACTTCAAGATCAAACCAAAAGATCATAAAGATCCTACCTTTAAGAAAAAGACAACTAATATGGAACCAAAAAGACTAGACAAGCTTAGATCTTACCCTCCTAGATGCCCAAATAAGTGAAAGGTTGAATCTTGGAAGCAAAACTTGGAATCTTGACAAGGGTCTCAACTTGGCTTGGAGAATAAGCTACACTTCTTTTCTAGAGAGAAGGTAGAGATATTTTTCTAGAAATTGTAAGGAATGAAATGAAGAAGTCTTCTAGGTTAGGTTACAATACTAACTCTTGGTGAAAAGACAAGGATACCCTTACTAACCCTTAGAAAGTGTAAGGAACAAGGGAACTCCCCTCAAAGCACAAGGTACAACACAACTTAAAGGTTGACTAGTCAAATTCTAGTCCTTGAGTATTAAAAATCAGGATTTTAGGAATTAATTCCTCAAATAGAAATAGGATTAATTACTCAATTAATCCATGGATTGGAATTAATTACTCAAATAGGATTGACCCTAGGATAAAGACTCTTAAGATAAGACTTTAGGACATTAAGCTTGAACTCTAGGTATCTAGGTACATAGGATTCAGGAAATCTTGGACGCGTGGTGAGATTGTAGGTTTACCTATCATTACATGCATATCGTTCCCCTCACTCTATTCTGCACTTAATTTAAGAATCCCCCCTACGCTTATCGCATCAAGGTAAGGGTGCAACACACTAACTCACCATTACGACAAACATTGGCCCTGTACACCATCAGCATGGCACCGACCAGAAGTCAATCAAGGACCCTCGAACCCTCCGCTCACGAATCTCTAGCTCAGAATCTACAACAACTGACTCAGGTCGCCCAGGCTCTAAGCGACGCAGTCCTCCGTAATAACAACTGACCACCACCACCACCAAATGAAAACTCAGATGTCACTCAACAAGTTTCGAACCATCGGCCACCCACCTTCTCAGGGGAAGATGACCCCACAATCCTCGAAGAATGGATCCAAACCTTCGACAAAATCCTCGGGTTAGTGGAATGCCCAGAGGAACTCCGCGTAGAGATAGTCTCATTCTACTTCAGACACAAAGCAAATCTTTGGTGGATCCACGAGGGACCCACTTATAGGCAAGAACCTAGGTTCAACTGGGAATGCCTGAAGACACGGCTACGAGAACGGTTCTACCCCGCGCACGTAAGGGCAACCATGTACGAGGAATTTCTCCACCTAAAACAACGGATGGCCACCGTCATGGAATACCACAAACGATTCCTTGAGCTGGCTCGTTTCGCGCCCGAATTAGTTCCAATAGAGACAACCAAGATAGAGAAGTTTGTGTCAGGCCTCAACTTCGAAGCCCGAAAGGCCCTAATCGTAAGCAGACCCCGAACCCCTAACGAAGCCTACACCAGCGCCGCCGACCTCTATCGAATCCAATTACTACAACGGGGAGTCCAGGAACAGATCTGTAAAAGAAACACAGGAGGCGGAGCGCCACCTGTAAAAAGGACTAGAACCGACTCTAACATGAGGCTGGTCAACCCAACTAGCCAAGGGCCGCCCATGAGAAACAACGAAGCAAATACAAGGTCATTCCTTTGCCGAAGATGCAACAAGGACCATAGAGGCAAGGACTGCCTAGGGAACCCCTAGCGATGCTTCAACTGCGGGGGAGAAGGACAAGAGTCCTTCCAGTGCACTCAACCCCCAAACTCACGCCCTACAATCATGGGCTAACAAGGAGGCGCAAACAACCAAGGGAGTTACGGTACTCCCGGAAAGGTATTCGTCATAAGTCGCACCCAGGCTGATCTTGGAAACGAGGTTAACTTCGACACGGAAAACGTGGCCCTAGGGGACGAGGATCCCGCTAATCAATCAGAAGAAAATCAGGGAGAAGAATTCTGCTTAGGTTGATCTGTGAACCCCTGTGAACCACCCTTTTTAGTAGAATCGCTTGTTTAGTTTAGCTATTTAGGAATTTTTATAAATAAAAGACAAAGTCAATTAAATTAACGTAAAGAGGAGAACTAACATCCCCCATTGATCCACGAGTCACAAGACCCAACACACGGCAAAGGCAAAAGTTTGACAAGGGGATCCGGTCAAGCTACTTGCCACATCGAGCCAAAAGAAGGATAGGAAAACCCAAGGGATGCACAACAAAAAAGACTAATGCAACTAATGGGAATTAAACCTTGGATCTCTCACTTACAAGACAAAGCCTTAACCACTAATGTAACACCCCGTGTTATGGCCTTTAAAACCATTTAATTATTTAATCATTTACTCAAGAGAAAGAATTAAACTTCATTAATTAATCAGGAAAGGCCCACCATAGTCCATGGGCCCTTATCCCTAAAGCCAATCCCTTAGTCCTATAGGAAATGGAATTAGCAAAGCCATACCACTTAGACCCTAATTGGGACTCTTAGATATATATATATATATATATATATATATATATATATATATATATATATATATATATATGTATATATATATATATGTATATATATATATATATGTATATATATATATGTATATATATATATGTATATATATATATATATATATATGTATATATATATATATGTATATATATATATGTATATATATATATATATATATATATATATATATAGATGTGTATTCAAATGAGGACAAGTATATTATAGAGGACTGTGAGGACAGATGTAGTGTGTGCCATTAGCAGGTATGTCGTGTGCATGACCGAATGTAGTCGTGTGCCACAGTTTGTATGTCGCGCGCTAGATTTGTTAATTTATAGAGCCTGGGTTCGAAACCTGATGTTTACATTTATTCTTGTGTGCCAGGTATAAATTTGTTGTGTGCCCATTATTTGTCCTCACAGTCCTCTATATATTGTTGTCCTCATTTGAACTCAACCCTATATATATATATATATATATATATATATATATATATATATATATATATATATATATATATATATATATATATAGGGACTTAAGAGGCACCTAGAACTCACACCACAATAACTTTCACCACACAAGAATTCCCCAAGAATTCCCATAGGAGAAATCAAGAAAGAAGAAATCTTAAAGAAAGACCCTTCATAGCCAAGGAAATTAATTAAGGCTAAGAGGTAACCCATGTCTCAACAAAAACTATTTTCCTTGCTATAATCTCCTTCTTTGGCTCCCTCTATATACTTGTGTCTTGATGAATTTCTTTATGATATTGTGATATAATCTTGATTGATTGATGTGATGATTTTATGAGGGATATTGATGATCTTGATGTTAAAAAGAGGTTCTTGATATTTATGTGATGATTCTTGATAAATCTTGACGGTTCTTGATAATGAAAGTAAAATATGATTTTGATGATTTGGGTGGGATTAGAGCCCTAAGTTGGATTGGGAATTGATATTGTGATGTTCTTGATTTATATTTGGGTGGGAATTTGCATGTTCGGGTGTTGTTCGTGTCTAGAAGTCATGTTAGGATGTGTTCAATATGATTCTTACTTTCGATCCATTAAATGCCTATGTGGTGTCGTTAATTGCGTTTAAAAGTGTCCAAGCATGGTTTCGGGTTCCACGAAGGATCCCGGAACGCGTGTTTGATAAAAGAGTCAGTGGGGGGTAGCGGTACCCGCCACCTGCCCGCTGCCCAAAGTAAGACCGCCGGGCAGCGGGCAGCCGGCGGGCAGTCGTCTGCCCGCCGGGCACCCGCTGCCCGGAAGTTATCGCCGGCGGGTGGCACTCCACCCACCGGCTACCCGCTGGTTTGTCACCCACCCCGGGTCTTTGGCTTCCCCGTTTGATGTTCCCCATTCCCCGTGGTGTCCCAACGGACCCCGTTTGTCGTGCTTGAGTCTAGTTTGATGTTTCGGGTGTCGTTCGTAGGATAAAAGAGTCTAGGAATTGCATGCTAGTCGAATCGGTAACCCGTTAGCCTAGGTGGAAGTCATATGGACCCCTTAAGACTATTCTTATTATGTGAATGATCACACGTAAGCTTATTTATATGCCTCCCCCTTCCCAACATGCTATTGTGTGCTATTATGTGTTATGTGATGCATGATTCCCCAATTTGGTTGCGATCAAATTGGCTGTACGGGCAGTTGGATGGGTTGAGAACCATCCCAACTGTTAACCAGGCCGGTTGCGATCGGTCAGGTATATAAATATTATATAGGGTTGCAGTCCACTGTTTGGTTACTTATGAGTTGTGGTTCATTCCCCTGGCTGCAGTCAGTGATTCACTTCTTGGGCTGCGGTCCACATGGGCCTTGGGTGCTATGACCCACCGACCTGGACGTGCCAGGCGGTGTGTAGGGCCAATAAGCCCGATGAAGGCTGTAGTCCACCGACCTGAGTAATCAGGCGGTGTGTAGGGCTACGGCTGGCTGCGATCCACCGAGTGATGGGCCAACGGTGTGTAGGGTCGTAGTCTCCGAGGATCATCGCCCATCGACTGAGTTCCTCAGCGGTGTGTAGGGCTTGATCCGCTATGACCCACTGACTGTGCCCGTCAACGTTGTGTAGGATCGTAAGTCCCCCCTTGTAAAGTGGATCACAGTCCACCGACTGAGCGCGTCAGCGGTGTGTAGGACTGTGATCCGCCGCTGAGTTCGTCAGCGGTCTATAGGGTTGGTTGCGATCAACTCCCTTCATGCTGCGGTATGAGGTAGGGTGCTGCGGGGCCGTGTTAGTGCTATATGCACTAACCCTCATGTTCGGGGCATGTGATTGGTCCCGTGGCGCCACCACAGTGTGATTGTGTGTCACAAATGATGATTGGATGATGATATGGTTGATTTGAAAGTAATCTGTGACCTTAGTTGCGTATTCTTTATGATGGTTGTTTCTACTTAACTGTTATCATTGATTATGGTGCTTGCCCCTATTTGCTGAGTCTATTCCTGGTTTTAAAACTAGAGTCTCTTAAGTATATATCTTCCTGCTTCAAAATGGTTTTCATATATCTATATATATCTATCTATATTGTATTTCAACGTGTTGGAGTGGGTTACCAGCATCATTCGCTGAACAAATATATTTGGCTTTCAGGCACCGATGCGTAGACCCGGAGCGCGCTAGAGATCCGAAGCATAGATTAGTTAGTTTCACCTCGGTCTGCGTGCCATGATTATGTATTGACATTTGTATTGAGGATTTTAGTTAGTTAGCATGTGCATCTGAGTTCTCCAGCTCAGATGTGGCATAGCACCCCGCACTCTTATGTTGATTTTGGGATTTAATGAGAATTCACCTTTATTATATAAGTTTTAAAAGTTTAAAAATTTCGGGGTGTTACAGTTGATATCAGAGCCTAAGTTGACCCTAGGATAAGACTCTTAAGACCAGATTTTAGGACATTAAGCTTAAACTCTAGGAGTTCAGGAACATAGGATTTAGGAATCATAGGACGCGCAGTGAGATTGTGAAACCCCTAAACTTTCCCACACCCTAATTCACACTCAATCTAAAAGAACCCCCTTATACTCATAAGCATAAGGTAAGGATGCAAAATAATATCGGCCTATGAACCCTCAAGATGGCACCGACAAGGAAACAGGCAAAAGCATCGGGACTACCCACACAAGAATCCTTGATTCAGAATCTACAACGTCTGACCCAAGTTGCCTGGACACTAAGCAACACAGTCTTCCAACCTTCACCACCAAATAGAAACTTGGAAATCCAACACCAAATCTCAGAACACCGACCGCCTACCTTCTCGGGGGATGAAAACCGCACAATTCTCGAAGAATAGATCGGAACATTTGACAAAATATTCAGAGCAACAGGATGCCCGAAAAACCACCAAGTAGAAACGGCCTCCTCTCCCTCTCTTCCCCTCTCTTCCCCTCCACGCCGCCGACATCTCCCCGAGAAACCCCCGTCGCACACCACCAACAGCCTACCGCCTCACCACCGTCGACCGCCCGACAACCGACTGCCCAGCTCCCGCCGGAGACCCGTCACCGCCATCACGCCAGCAGGACCGCTGCCGCCTCGACTTCGACGCAGCACCGCGACTCCCCAACGCGACGCCGTCCTCCTCCACACGCCACCAACGACCGGCGCTCGCCTCCCCGTCACTCGACCGGTCAGTCCCCACTGCCGCACGCAGCCTCCCACCGAAGCCAAGCCACGCCGCCACCCTCTCCACCTGAGCCTCGCCGGAAAATCTCCCACCGGAAAAATTCCTCGCCGGAAAGTCACCGGGGGCCCTCCGAACCACAACCACTCTACACAATGCCGAAAAAACCCATTGGTACCCGAACCCCGGAATGGAATAACGCCGACTACACGGTGATCGGAGGTAAAGCCCTCGAACCCGACCAATTCTCTCCGGAGTTGGTCGATATGCTTAAATTCCAAGGGCTTTTGGATGCCTATCTCACGATTAAGGGAGATACGTACCCCGAGTTGGTAAAGGAGTTCTATTGCCACTTCATAGCCACCAAACGAGGGGACCAGCTGGAAGTCACCTCTAAAGTCCGGGGCAAAGAAATAGTGTTCTCCGAGGGCCGCTTGGCCAAACTCCTGAAACTGACCACCACGGGTGTGTCAGACTATGACCGAAAAGCGTGGATCGGTACCCAAGGCATGGGTTACAAGGATTACCTCGGGTACCTACTAGGAAAGGAAGATGGCTTCACTTCGGCCACCCGGCCAAACAGGAAATGACTAACCACCGAACAAAAGTTGCTAGTCATAATTGTAACTGACAGCTTGTTGCCCATGAACAACAAGAGCAAGGACGTGGAGAGCTTAGAGTGCACCTTTGCCTATTTCCTTAAGCATTAGTTAAAGTTCAATTTGTCCACCCTTATGTTGAAACACATGGAATTCTGCAAATCTAGCAGCCGGCTCAGTTTGCCCTACGGGATGATCCTAAGTTGGATCATGGAAAGAAAAAGGGTGGACCTAAGCCACACGGAAGCCAAACCCGTGAGTGGGATGGTTTTCAATGCCCAGAACCTCCGTCGCAATGACATCTATCATGTCGGAGAGGGACAATACATCACCCTCGAGGAGGTTTGCCTGAAACCCACAGAAGAACGACGGGAGGTGGTCGATATGCTTAAATTCCAAGGGCTTTTGGATACCTATCTCACGATTAAGGGAGATACGTACCCCGAGTTGGTAAAGGAGTTATATTGCCACTTCATAGCCACCAAACGAGGGGACGAGCTGGAAGTCACCTCTAAAGTCCGGGGCAAAGAAATAGTGTTCTCCGAGGGCCGCTTGGCCGAACTCCTGAAACTGACCACCACGGGTGTGTCAGACTATGACCGAAAAGCGTGGATCGGTACCCAAGACACGGGTTACAAGGATTACCTCGGGTACCTACTAGGAAAGGAAGATGGCTTCACTTCGGCCACCCGGCCAAACAGGAAATGACTAACCGCCGAACAAATGTTGCTAGTCATAATTGTAACTGACAGCTTGTTGCCCATGAACAACAAGAGCAAGGACGTGGGGAGCTTAGAGTGCACCTTTGCCTATTTCCTTAAGCATAAGTTCAAGTTCAATTTGCTCGCCCTTATGTTGAAACACATGGAATTCTGCAAATCTAGCAACCGGCTCAGTTTGCCCTACGGGATGATCCTAAGTTGGATCATGGAAAGAAAAGGGGTGGACCTAAGCCACACGGAAGCCAAACCCGTGAGTGGGATGGTTTTCAATGCCCAGAACCTCCGTCGCAATGACATCTATCATGTCGGAGAGGGACAATACATCACCCTCGAGGAGGTTTGCCTGAAACCCACGGAAGAACGACGGGAGTTGGTTGACCAATTGGAAATCTCCAACAAGAAACTGAGACGGGCAATGCAAGAATGTGGGGAACAAGAGGAACAAGAAGAAGACAGCGAGCCTAACCCACCTACACCCGCACAAGAAACAGGGAACACGGAAGGCCAAGATGAAAGGTCCGTCAATGAGCGCATCCTCGCGCAACTCACCCGGCAAAACCGAATCATGGATGAAGGGTTCTCATCCCTAATCCTCGCAACACACTCATTAGATCAGAGAGTGGCAGCAATCGAGGCCATGTTGGACATGCGCGGGGCGTCTAGCTCGGGAGCAGGAAACCAAGGTAGACCCAAACTTTCCAAACACCACCTCACCAAGCTCCACTCTACCCCCAGCAAACGACACGTGGAGCCACATTTCCTAAATTCAGGAGGCCAAATACGTGACATCCAGGGGTGAAAGAATGGATCCAGGCACGGGCTTCGGGGACGAAGCCTCTTGTAAGGGGGGGGGGGTGTAACACCCCATGTTACGGTCACTAACCCAAACTAATTATTTAATTACCTATCATTCAGACCCCAGTTGGGACTTTTAGATATATATAAAGACATAGGAGACACCTAGAATTCACACCACAATAGATTCCACCATACAAGAATTCCCAAGAATTCCCCTATCACCAAACATAGGAGAAATCACGAAGAGGAGATCTTAGAGAAAGAACCTTAGTAGCCAAGGATTCTAATTAAGGCTAAGAGGTAACCCATGTGTCAACAAAATCTATTTTCCTTGCTATAATCTCCTTCATTGGCTCCTTCGATATATGATTCTGTGTTTATATCTTGATAAGGCTTTTCTTGAGATTGGTATGATGATTATGAGATAATCTTGATGTTTATGGGATGATCTTGATATTTATGTGATGATCTTGATGCTTATGTGATAATCTTGATGTTCTTGATTTTAAGATAAATGATGGTCTTGTGCTTTAAATATGACTAAAACCCTAGGGTTAAAATCGTGGATTTCGTATTGTGATATTCTTGGTATGTTTGGGTGGGATTTTGCATGTTCGGGTATTGAGTCTTAATATGTTTAGAAGTCATGTTAGGATGTATTTAATGTGATTCTTGGTTTTAATCCATTACTTGATTACGTGGTGTCGTCGTTTGTGTTTAAATGTGTTTGGACATGGTTTCGGGTTCCACGAGGGATCCCGGGACCGAATCATTACATAAGAGTCAGTGGGGGTAGGTGGGGGCAGGGGTACCCGCCACCTACCCGTTGCCCCATGAAGGCCGCCCGGCAGCCGGCGGGCAGGCAACTGCCCGCCGGGCACCCGCTATGCCGTGTTGTGCCGCCGGCAGGCAGCCGGCGGTTGGCCCTCCACCTGCCGGCCACCCATTGGAATTCCAGTGTGGAACGTGGTTGTTTTCCCCGTTTGATGTTTCCCCGTGTCCCGTGGTGTCCCATTGGACCCCGTTTGTCGTGCCTGAGTCTAGTTTGATGTTTCGGGTACCGTTCGCAGGATAAGAGAGTCTTGTATATTGCATGCTAGTCGAATTGGTATCCCGTGGACCTAGGAGAAAGGAGCATGAACCCCTTAGGCGTATCTCTAGTTATGTGGCTAACCACGCATAGGTTATATATGTATGATTTCCCCTCCTTATGTGTTAATGTGGGTTGCATGTGCTTGGCTATGTGTTATTTGTGCATGATACCCCAATTGGTTGCGATAAATTGGCTATATATACAGGAAGTTGGATGGGTTGAGAACCATCGGCTGTTAACCCGACCGGTTGCGATCGGACGTGTATATAAATATATATAGGGCTGCGGTCCATAATATGATTGCGATCAGATATACATATTATTCGGGCTGTGGTCCACCGTTTGGTTGCGATCAAACGTTATAAATAAGCTGCGGTTCATCGATTGGTTGCGATCAATCTCCTTGTGCTGCAGTACAGGCAGGGTGCTTCGGGGCCATGCCAGAGCTATATGCGCTGGCGCTTCGTGTATGGGCGCGTGAAGGGTCCTGTGGCACCACCAAATGTGCTTACGTGTTGAGATAATGATTGAATACTGACATGAATGATGTGAAATAGTCTTGTGACCTTAAGGTGTATGATAATATCTTTATATGCGTGATTATATCTGATGAATGTGCATACCCTTATCTGTTGAGTCTATTCTCGATTTTAAATTAGAGTTTCATAAGTATATATCTATATTGTATTTTAACGCGTTGGAGTGGGTTACCAGCATTATTCGCTGAACAAATATATTTGGCTTTCAGGCACAGATGTGTAGCTCCGGAGCGCGCTAGAGGACCCGAGGCTTATCTAGTTAGTTCTTTATCAGCTTGCGTGCCATGATGATGTACTTAACATTGACTTGAGGATTTATGATGTTTAGATAGTTTAGCCTATGCGTCTATGTTCTCCAGCTCAAACGTGGCATAGCACCCCAACAATTATGTTTAGTTATGCTCTGTTTTGGGATTTAATGATAGTATTACCTTTATTTCATAAGCATTCAAAGTTTTAAATTTTATGGGTGTTACACCACATCATCCACATATACTAAAAGGGAAATAAAGGTTTGACATGTCCCTCTGATGAACAATGAAAGATTTGCAATGGTATGTTTAAAGCCAAGTTTGAGGAGTTCTATAGTGAGCTTAGCATTACACTGTCTATTGGCTTGCTTTAGACCATAAAGGGATTTTGTTAATCTGCAAACCATTCTAGCTTTAGGGCAACAAGTCTTGGTGATAGGGTCATGTATACTTCTTCATAGAGGTCTCCATGGAGGAAGACATTATTCACATCCAATTGGTGTAAATTCCACCACTTAACATCTACAATAGCTAGGAGAGTCCTGATGGTTGTGACTTTAGCCACTAGGCTAAAGATATCTAAGTAATCCAATCCAGCTGTTTGTGTGTAGCTCTTAGCCACCAATCTAGCTTTATATATCTCAATACTCCCATTAGACATGTATTTGACTTTGTACACCCATTTAAATCCAATAGCTTGTTTGGTAGAGATTAAATCAATGAGTTCCCACGTTCTGTTTGCCTGCAATGCTTCAATTTTAGCAGCCATGACTTGTTTCCAACAATCATGTTGTATAGCTTCATTATATGTCTTAGGCTCTTTAATGCAGGATTTTCTCATGACAAACGTTTGATAAGTAAGAGATAACTTGTCATGAGTCATGATTGTGGCTAAGCTGTGAGGAGAGACTCAGCCATCCTGACAGTCATAGTCTGCTAAGTAAGATGGAACAATCCTTTGTCTGGTTGACCTCCTCAGATCTAGAGATGGAGATTATGTAAGAACCTCAGGGATGGTGTCAGGTTCAGTTGACTGCCCTTGACTAGGTTGGATGGCTTTAGATTCACAGTCAACACTAGTAGCATGCTCAGTAGGCAAGACTGGCTAGTCTTGTCCCTTTACAGTCACTTCATTGGTCTGGAAAGGAAAAGAGTCGTCATAGAACACCACATCCCTTGAGACAATGATTTCTTTAGTTTGAATGTCATAAAGTTTGTAGCCTTTTACTCCATTGGTATATCCAATGAATATACATCTCCTTGCCCTTTGTGAGAACTTTGTCCTATGACCACCATGCAGTGCAGCATAGGCAAGGCACCCAAAATCCTTAAGGTGCTGATACTGGGACAGTTTGTTAAATAGGAGCTGATAAGGTATCTTATTATCTAGTGCTGCTGAAGGTAATCTGTTGATTATGTAAACATCATGCAAGATACATTCTCCCAAAAATTAATTAGGTATCTCAGCTTGAAATTTTAAGGCCCTTGCTACAGACAAAATGTGGCCATGCTTCCTCTCAACTACACTGTTCTATTGAGGAGTGCATACACATGAAGTCTGGTACACTATGCCTTTTTACAGGTAATAATATGGCATTGAGGATTCTTTCCCATTGTCTATTTCTAATACACTTGACTGCCTTTCCAAATTGAGTGTGAACCATAGCACAAAAGCGCTGCACAAGTTGCCTTACCCCATCCTTACCCCTCATAAGGTAAACCCATGTAGTCATGTTAAAATCATCTACAATGGTGAGGAAATATTGATGTCTAAGCAAAGTCTTAACATGATATGGTTCCCAAATATCCATATGTACTAGATGAAAGAAATTCGTAGTAGAAGATTTACTAGGAGAGAAAGGTAGTCTTTTCTGTTTGGCCAAATGGCAACAATCACAAACACTATCTTTTCCAACAACTATATTTACAATTAAGGATTGCAGGAATCTTATTTTGGCATGAGATGCATGCCCTAATCTGACATGCCAAATATTACTAGCAACAGAATTCACTACAGGAATACAATGTAAGGTGGAATGTGCTGGTATAACAAGGTGATACAGGGTATCTCTTAGTTCAGCTGTACTAATCATCTTCCCAAGGTGTGGATCATGTATCATACACTTGTTAGAGTGCATCAATACATGATAGCCTAATGACTTAATCAGCTCAACTATAGTGATCAAGTTATAGTAGAACATTGGAACATATAGAACACCCTGCAATACAATCATATTGGACAAATGTACAGATCCAATGTGTGTGATTGTAACCTTATTTCCATTTGGTAAGGCCACATATTTTCCATTGATCTTTCTAGGTTAGTGATGAGGTTTCTATTACACGCTATGTGGTGTGTAGCACCACTGTCAAGGATCCACATATTCTTATACTCATTGGTAGTATTGACTATTCATAGTAGGTTTACCTTCTAATTCTGCATTTGGCACAAAATTGGCTGTTATGATGTTAGCTTGAGGTGCTGTTCCATTGCAGCATGTGTCCAGTAGGGTGCTCCTTTCCCTTTTCACATACTCAAGAAACTCAAGATATTTCTTGTACCCATCTTGATTGTCAGAAATGCAATTCTCCTGTGCATTAGTTGTATTACCTTGAACCTGATTAGCTGACCCAACATTCTTCCCTCTAGGTTTCTATCTCGAGGGTATCCATGCTTTTTGTAGCATTTCTCAATGGCGTGCCCTGTGAATCTACAATAACTACACACCAACTTTGATTTATTATTGGAATAGTGTTTGTTTTCTTTGGCAAGCATTGCACTACTTGATAAATTTTCAGCTGAATGTGCAAATTGGTTGATAGGGTTGTTAAACCCAACAGAAAACTGCCTTTCCTATTGAGAGATCATGGAAAAGGCTTCACCTACATCTGGCAAGGGTCTCATTGGCATTATTTGATTCCTTGATCAAGCCCAATGAGGAAGGCACACTTCATATCATTTTCAAAATTGGTCACAGCCTTGTTCAGAAAATTATCACTATACCTGCACTTCTGAATGCAAATACAGGTAGGTGTAAGTCTCAGAATGAGAAATTTGTCCCACAACAGCTTCAATTTGGTGAAATATTCAATCACACTACTACTACCTTACCTGGTCTGGTAAATCTCTGCTTGAATCTTAGCTATTCTAAACACATCCTACATGTTTTCTAAGCTTCTTCTTTAGGTCCATCCATACCCCCTTCTACTGTATCGATCCATATGACGCTCCTTGCGATCGTTGGTGATAACACGCGGACTATCCAAGCCACCACCAAATTGTTGCAACGTTCCCAGAAAAAATACTTCCGATCGTCTCTACTTGGCATCTTGATTGCGCCATTGACAAAGCCAAACTTGTTCTTCAAAGAGAGAGCTACTCTCGTCGCTCTCGCCTACTGATGATATTTATTTCCATCCAACATGGAAGATACCAGTTTATTTATTTAATTCAATATATTATATTGTTCTATGATTTTTAATAATTTTTGTTGGGTTTATAGTGAAAATGTAAAATAAGAATGGTATGTTATTTTAATTATATCAGTTGGAACTAACGTAGATACAAAGGTCTTGATCCCGCGATTGTCGCTTACATCGTTTTAGACCTAAGGTTACTATTTAAGTTTCAACGAAGACAATTCTTACTAATGTTGTCTTATGCTATGACAATAAACAAGAGTCAAGGCCAGACGCTTTCTACAATAGGACTATTGTTGAAAAAATCAGAGTTATATGCTGCTTTGTCTAGAGTTAGGAATCCAAATGGTCTTAAGTTACTTATTTGCAATGACAATGGAGAGTATGTTTCTTCAACGTCAGATGTTGTATATAAAATTTTTACTCTGTATATTATTAACTGTTTACTATTTACAAAATATTAATAATATTTGATTTTATAGTTTGGATGCTGTAAATAACTATACTATTCTTCTCATATATATATATATATATATATATATATATATATATATATATATATATATATATATAAGTCGTGCATCGCACGGGTGGAGTACTAGTTACGTTTAATGGAGCAAAAATATGATGAAAGCAAAAGTCTTATGTCACAAGCTGAGTTACGCTCTTAACAAGGCTCGTAAAACTCAAAATCATAAAGGTCATTCTTGCCATTATGCTCGTAACAGAGCTTCGTAGCGGAGAGCTAGCTTTAGAAAGTCAGTTATGCTATTACAATGACCACTACACTCGTAATGGGCATCGTAACGCAAGCGTTTCTGGGTGTTATAAAGGGAGAAGTTAGGAATTTTAGAGGAGCTTTTTCTTTTCTTAGGTTTTCTCTTTATACTAGTTTGGGAGTACTTTTTCCCTTTTACTTTTTTGGGCACTTTTAAAACAATTCTATTTCAATTTAAATTTCAATTAACAATCAATACTTAGATTTATTTTCAATTGCATCATTGGATCAAAGAATTGAAGATTTCAATTTTATAAAAGTTGTTCTACATTTACATTTCTTGCAATTTACTTTGTGTTTTGATTCTCTTGAAAACCAACCAAATTTATATTAAATCATCAAAAGATTTCGAAATACAATCGGGCGGGGAAGACTCTTAGACCCCAAGGACAGAAGGAGAACCAGTCGCCCGTGCAAGCACATGAGCTACATATATGATTCGCTGATCTTTTGACATGGCGAACAATAATGTTCTGGATGTCATTAGCAAGTAAACGGCATTGCTTAATAATAATACCAATATAAGAAAAGTCCTGACTACTAGAATTAAAATTTAAACCGTCTGACTCAACAATAATGTTGTTATCATGACGTCCCTTGAACCATGTTAATGCTTCTTTCACGGCCATCGACTTAGCAGCATAGGGATTCCGGTCGCAGTAGTGTAGATGCCCACATAAGCTCAAATGAATTTGCCATTATGGTTCCGAAGAATAGCCCTAAACCCTACTACATCGTTTAATAAAGCTGCATCAACATTACAGTTTATCATACCATGCATGAGGCGGTGGACTCCATGCGTAAGATGTAGCATGCAGACCATCCAGATTGCGAAGTAGACTAGTGGTTCATCTCGAAGAACTCAAATTTATTTTGACCCGATCCAAATCAGAAGTGGACCGACATATATTTATACTACAAATTAAACTAGCTACTTACAATGTCATTTTTGCTATTTTTTTTTCCAACAGCAGCATCTTCTAATCCAACTTCTAGGGTTGCATTCATCAAACTTAGGAAACTCAAATTTAGGCATAGTTAAGCATATCATTAACATTTCCATTGTTCTGGCTAATCCCTAGATTCAGATTCAGTCTAGGTACACCATTTCCCTTTTAGCCTGCAGGTAATATCTCAGCACAACTAACATAGATAAGACGGGATAAGACGTTTATTTTGAACATAGATAATAAGTAAACATGGATAATAAAAGACATCGTTTGAATTATTAGAATCACGTGGTCACATGCCCTGCTCGTGACAGAGAGGCAGTCACCTTATTTCTCACCCAAATTAGAAACCAATACTATATTTTTAAGGAGATAACAATCCTAAAGCTTTTAAAGTTGGCCATGCATCCACCTCCTAAGCATTTCCAGCGATGCTTTGGGCTGATCCATTGGAACCAAGTGGCCAGCATCATGAACCTTAAGGAAAGTGAGAGGTCCATAGCTCTTTTGTATCCCTTTCTCCTTTCCACCCACTGAAAATGTCACGTTTGGAGCTGCTCCAAATCCTTTTTGCCCATACCACTGCAAAGCTTGAACCCATCTCAAGTTTCCTGTTTCATATCAAAGTGGATTTTTGGATGAGTTATCACAATAAAACATATATGATTCAGTGCTACATGGAGTTATTGTTAAGCAGAGGCCAGTAAAGGGTCAAATCCAACAATTGGTGATTAGGAATATTATTGGGGGAGGTGGGTGAAGGGTCAAGTCCAGCACCCTAATCCTAACAGTTATGTTGTTATGATGATGAGAAGAACGTAACTAACTAACTTACCAAGCCAGTTGCAAATTAGGTCATATTCGCCGACGTAAACCAGAAGATTGATACCATCCTGCAGGAGAGATGGAATGCCTGGTGCCAGATTCTTGAAAATGTCAGATGACATTACCTCGTACACTGTGGTGCTGCATGAAACCCAATCAATGTCACCCACCCCGAGAGCATCCTTAACTGACTTCGTGTTGAGGAAAGTCTCTGCATTTGAGAAGTCATAGCAGAGTGATCCCCCAACGCATTTCTTCCGGATATCATAGTACTGCATACATGTGAATTACAAGGTAAATGCTTTTGGTGATTGCCAAGATCTAAAAGAGGGTAAATTACAGAAACACATTCGATGTTTTACGTTTAGGTCCACAAGTTTCTCCATTATCCGATCATAGAGGGGTTGGCAGCGGCTATTCACCAAATCACTACAAGCAGATCCACCATTACTATTACACTGCCTCACAGCTTCTTGACAGCCCGGGATAAGCTGCGTCAATTCATCATGGAAAGATTTTGAGATCAAGTTATTGTCCAAAGCAAAATCTGGGTATGCTGGATACTGTATTCCCGGATCGGTGAGTCCATTGCCAATGGCTAATCCCTGTTTCAATAACAATTGAATGGATTAGATCCATCATGTTCCAAATTCTAGATTTTAGAACTTACTGTGATGATTGTTATACCTTAAGGTTTATGTGAATTCCTTCTTTCTTCTTGTTTCCTTGGTTAATCCGTGTGCCCAATGCAGGAATATAGTGCCCAGCGTAGGATTCTCCAGTTACAAAGAACTCACTCTTTGCATATTTTGGGTGTGCCTTGAAAAATTCCTGTATTTCATTGTATCCAGAGATGAATTTATTAATAAAATCAACTTCTACTCTGTAACTAATTTATAGAATTGATGGTAAAATCAAATTTTGTGGAAGACCTGTAAGAAGGCATAAAGATCATTGCTGACACCATTTTCATCATAGCGAATGTCGTCTTTACTTGAACTATAGCTGAAACCCGTTCCAGTTGGTTGATCAACATATATAAGGTTAGAAACCTGTCAAACAAAATTGTCAAATGGTCATGCCTTTTAAAATTAATCAAATTAAATTCATATAAAATGATTTGATTTAGGTAAAATGCGATGATGACCAATTCAGTAGTATATCTGTGCCATAGTCTTCAAGATGGAAACATCCTAGGATTCTCTTAGCTCAATTAGATAAGTCATTTCATTCTCACAAAGATGATGCAAGAATATTTGAATTCTTTTTTTTTTTTGGTACATGTACATCAGAAGTCTTCGGGAGCGATTATCTAACCCTAAGATTTGGTGTACTCTTCATGTCGGCGAATATTTGAATTCTAGATACTCGTGCAACACATAATATAATATGTAATACGGATTGGTTGTTTGGTGCTAGAGTGATATGTCCAGTTTAGACCATCATTAAGCACTAATAATACAGAATAGTCATTAAAGTTTTTTTTTTTTTTTTTTGTCAAATTTGTACTAGTGAAGCTTTCCGCTTCTTTTCTTTGACTTCTCTCTTAGTCAACTAAGTAGTCTGCCATTAGCACCTACGAGTCAGCTAATCATTAATAGCTCATCAGTATTGGGCTTGTAGCTAGGTTGAGTTACTTGGGCCTAGTTTGTCATTTTATTCACTTCAAATTCTTGTAGCCCATTAAAAGTATTTCAAGTGTCTTGGGGCATATTATGTTGTGGAACCACCTTGCAAGGTGAATACGGTTTCAAAACTGTAATAATTATAAATATAGAGTTCAAAAATTATGAATATAGAGTTCTATAATTATGAACATAGAGTTATGAACATAGAGTTCTATAATTATGAACATAAAGTTCTGTAATTGTGAATGTAGAGTTCAATAATTGTGAATATGAAGTTAAAAAATTATGAACATAGAGTTCAGTAATTATGAATATAGAGTTCTGTAATTGTGAATATAGAGTTCAATAACTGTGAGTATAAAGTTCAAGAATTATGAACATATATAGAGTTTTATAATTAGAGAAAATGGTCAAATAGGCCCTCGAACTTTAGCTTAAAAATCAATTAGACCCCTAAACTTTTAAAAGGTGCAATTACACCCATCAACAATTCATTTAGGTGCAATGAAGCCCAAAAACAAGTTAATGACCTGCTACCACAGGTCATTAGGGTTCAGACCACCTTCCGGTCACTTTTTTGCCGGAAATTTCGCCAGTCACTTTTTTTTTGTTGGAAATTTCGCCAGAAGGTGGCCTGAACCCTAATGACCTGTGATAGTAGGTCATTAACTTGTTTTTGGACTTCATTGCACCTAAATGAATTATTAATGAGTGTAATTGCACCTTTAAAAAGTTTAAGGGCCTAATTGACTTTTAAGTTAAAATTCGAAGGCCTATTTGACCCTTTTCCCTTATAATATAATTATAAAAATAAAATCGTGTCCATCTTGCAAGGTGGACACGATTTCACGGCATAAGAATTGGTGTCTGGGACCCTATTAATTTAGTATTTGAATTAGTGAAATTTGATATTTGGGTTGTGACTAAAACTTACTTAAAAGTTAAAATGCAAGTTAATCGGTCCAACTCGCTTGTTTTGATGGTTCTATTTAGAATAGTAAAAGCTCTTGCAATTATTACAAGAAGAAAATTTTATTTTTTGGTACCGGTGATTGTGATTACGACATATACAAATAGAGTTGTCATGAGTTTTAAGTTTTATGATTACCTTGTCCCAGCCATAATCATTCCAAATGAGGGACTGATTGTCGGCAATATAAAAAGGACCATTCTCATAAAACAAAGCTAATGAACCGCTGCATCCTGGCCCTCCACTCAACCACAGAACAACCGGGTCACTTTTGTTGCTTCTAGATTCAAAGAAGAAATAAAACATCCTGCGCCAAACCAAAAAACATTATCATTCCAAAGATCAGAGTACTAGGAAACCATAAAACCCATAAAATACAGTGTTTTATTTGTATTCTCACCTTGCGTCTACAGTGTTTGGGAGCCTGTAGTAACCAGCATGCTGACCCAAATCTTCAACAGTCGCCCCAGAATCTCCAAGAAGGTTCAACTTCAACTTCTTCTCGACCAATCTCGGCGTATCTGCTTCCACCGGAGAGTGGCCAGAACCCCTGTTGAGATCATGCAAGGGGAATAAGTTGAGTTGTCTGATCATCTTCTCGGCTCGCCGCTTCGAATTCGCCATGGAATTATCCTCCCCATTTGCTTGTCCTGCAGGAGAGGAAACCAAAACCAGTACAAGCAGAAAAGGCCACATTATTCTTTGTTGGGATGACAAGAATGTGTAGTGTTTGGTTGTGGCAATTCTGAAGGGGATAGAATGAGATATGTGCATTGTCGTCCATATTTATTTGCATGTGAACGCAAGCGACAAGATTTCACCACATTTTTGTAATACTATTTATTTCAGCACATGTTTTTTTATCAACTCTTAAAATATCTTATTGATATTATAATATTAAAAATACTCACTAAATGAAAAATGTTAAATAATTAAAATAAAAATAAAATAAAATAAAAACATTAACTGGGTCAGTTTCGTCTCGGCCGGCCCGTCTCCCAAAGACCTTCGTCTCCTAGCCATGGAGATGAATTAAGGAATCTTTGTTTCCTGGCCATGAAGACGAAGCCAACTGAAGACGATTTGTCTCCGGCAGTTTTAGTTTTAGTTTTTTTTTTTTTAATTAATTATTTAATTATTTAATTTTTATTTTTATTTAACCTCCTTTCAGGTAAATAAGTCATTTTGGGTCTAATTGCATGAGCTTATGTTATTCAAGAATCCAATTGCATTATTTTTAGTTTGATAGATTAATTGTAATTTGGTGTGCAATTGAGTGGCCTATTTAACCCTTATTATTCCAAAGAAAAATGATCAAGATTGAAAATGAGTTTAGCATGCATGATTATATGTATTAATATAATACGGAGTATGTATAATTATTACACACCGTACCCTTAGTCGCCCCTCCAACATTTTATGAAAGATAAATATGATTACTACTTATATGGTACAAAATATTTTATAATATTAATTGTAGTACTTATTTTATTAATTATAATTGGCATATGTTGGTTTATAAGATTTTAGTGTGGGTATGTAGAATGTTAAGTTTTAATTTATGGTACGTTGTTGAAGTCTTCTCAAATGAGGTGTACTGTTTGTATTGGGGTTTTTGTAAGAGAAGAATTTTGAAGTTTCAAATGTATTTTAATTAGGGATTAATTCTAGCAAAAAACAATACCCATATCCCCTCTACTCTAAATTCTCTATATTCTAACGATTGTGTTAGCCCACCGTTAACTATACTCAAAATTCATAAAACCAACCATATACTAATGTGTTTTGTTTGCATTCCCACCTTAGCTTGTATCTACGGTGTCTGGGAGCCTGTATTGTAGTAACCAGCACAAGCAGAAAAGGCCACATTCTTTGTTGGGATGACAAGAATGTGTTTGGTCGTGGATATTCTTAAGGAGATAAGAGTGATATTTGTGCATTGTCGTCAATATTTCTGTGCATGTGAGCGCAAAGGCGCAATCCACAGGAAGTGCGTTCTAGCCCTAACCTTACGTTTGGTTTTCGAATAAGTTATGAATGAAATAACATTTTTGAAAAAGTTCTATATGTACTCCCAAATCTGATTCCCTCAATTTTACTTCCTGATGTGACCGGCCCTGTATTGGGTTGGGTTGGGTTGTATTTTAATTAGGGATTAATTCTTGCAAAAAAAAAAATGAAGAAATTTCAAACAAGACATGAAGAAATTTCCACTCCAATGAACACTAGTACAATTGTCTGATCTGATGAAATCCAGGTTATATAATATAGGAATACGAATCAAATAGGTTACTCAACTGCACACCAAACTGCAATTAGGCTATTGAACTAAAAAAGAATGCAATTGAGCCATTGAATAACACAAAAACATGCAATTTAGCCCAAAATAACCTGTTTACCTGATGTAGTAAGTTACCGATTTTAAAATTAATTTTTTAAAATAATTTTTAATATAAATAAATTATTTAAAAAAAAAAAAAGATTCGTCTCCGGCGGGCTTCGTCTCCATGGCCGGAGACGAACCTCCGTCCCCAGCCATGGAGACAAAGACCTTCGTCTCCATAGCCGAAGACCAAGGTCTTTGTCTCTATGGCCATCCGGCTATGGAGACGAAGATCTTCGTCTCCATAGCCGGAGACGAAGGTCTTTGTCTCCATGTTCGTCTCCAGCCGGCAATTTTTTTTTTTAAATTTAATTTAATTTTATTTTATTTTAATTAATTAATTATTAAAAATATTTTTAAGAAATATTTTTAAAATGGGTAACTTGCTACATCAGGTAAACAAGTCATTTTAGGTTAAACTGCATGTTTTTGTGTTGTTCAATGGCTCAATTGCATATTTTTTTTGAATTCAATGACCTAATTGCAGTTTGATAGTGAGATTCTAAGCGTATTCGAGTTTTCTTTGCAGGGTGGAAGAATGTGCGTTAATCTCAAGACCGCCTTTGCTACGAGGAGTGAACAACTACATGGATAGTGGAAAGGCTAGGATAGTGAAGGCTTTCATTAAGTCTTTATGTGAAGAGTGTTGGGACTCCATGGATAGTGATTGGACTCAACCAATGATGATGGTCCTAGATGAAGAAAAGGAAAAAACCTCTTAGCTAGTGGACAATTGATGAAAAGGACAAGGCGTCAACAACAATTGAGCTATGGATGCAATTCATAGTGCTTTAATTGAGGTCCTTATTAATTTGAGTTGATATCGACTAAGGTGTAAACGAATTGAATCGAGTCAAATATTTCAGTATTAGATTCGAATTTGACTATATATTTAAATATTCGTATTCGTATTTGTTTAATATTCAAATCTCAAATTTGATTTGTATTCGATTCGACTAGTTTATTTGAATATATTTGATTCGACTGAAATAAATATTCGAATTCAAAATGCCTAATTTAATCTTCTTAAAGAGCCTATTTCATTCGAATTATATTGGAAAAACATGGAAACTAGAGGAAAATGAGATTTGTCTGCAATTTAAGTTATGTGCTGCAGTCACCTGGCCTTAATCAGAAACCAGTAGTATATGTATTAAATTTTCCAAAAGGATTCAAAGCTTTATCAATTATAATTTTCTTTAAGGAAAACAATGTATACATAAAAGTTTAAGGAAAGATGACAGTCCTATGGCTTTGAAAGTTGACCATGCATCCACCTCCGAATCATTTCCAGCGCTGCTTTGGGCTGATCCATTGGAACCATGTGTCCAGCATCATGAACCTTAAGGAACGTGAGAGGTCCATACCTCTTTTGTATCCCTTTTTCCTTTCCATCCAGTAAAAATGTCACGTTTGGAGCTGCACCATAGCCCCCCTGCCCAGACCACTTCAAAGCTTCAACCCATCTCCAGTTCCCTGTTTCATATCAAAGTGGACTTTTAGTTGAGTTATCACACTATATATGTATGGAGTTAGGTGCAAATTTATTTCTTTATAGACTGTCATCACATTTTCGAAAGTAGAATGCTGGACTTGGCTCTTTACCCTAGCCAAATGGTGCTAGCTCGACTTGGCCCTTACTGGCCTCGACCCAACAGAGTTGTTGTTATGATGAAGAGAACAAGTAACTTACCAAGCCAGTTGCAGATAAGATCATATTCGCCCGCATAAACCAGCAGATTGATACCATCCTCCAGCATTGATGGAATGCCCACTGCAAGATTCTTGAACCAGTCCGATGACATATCCTGGTACACTTCAGAGCTGCACGAAACCCAATCAATGTCGCCCACCCCGAGATCATCCTTCACCGATTGTGTGTTGAGTAAAGTCTCTACATTTGAGAAGTCATAGCAGAGTGATCCCCCATCACATTTCTTCCGGATATCATAGTACTGTGTACATTATGTGAATCATTAGTGAATGGCATATGGCAAAATATACCTCAAGAAAAGAGAGTACTTAAAGAAACACATTATTCTGTACATTTATGTTCCCTGCTATCCCCAATATCTGGTTGAAGATGATTTCGCAACGGCTATTAGCCTCGCCGCAAGATCCACCAGCACTGTTACACTGCCTCACAGCTTCTTGACAATCTGGGACAAGTTGCATCAGGTCATCATGATCAGATTTTGAGATTAATTTGTTGTCCAAAGCAAAGTCTGGGTATGCTGGATACTGTATTTCTGAATTGGTGAGTCCATTGCCGATAGCTAATCCCTGTTACAAAGCATCTATCATGTTCTAAACCCAGATTATATTCCACAACTGTGACAGAAAATCAAAGGTTGTCAATTGTCATACCTTAAGATTTATGGGAACTCCTTCTTTCTTCTTGTTTCCTTGGTTGACCCGTGAGCCCAATGCAGGAATATAATGTCCAGCATAGGATTCTCCCGTTATAAAGAAGTCATTCTTTGCATATTCTGGGTGAGCCTTGAAGAACTCCTGTATAGTATTTCAATGTAATCAGAGGGAGTTTAACTTCTAACCACAATTAATTATGGAGATAGCACAAGGGAAAAATAAAATTTAGCTGAAGATCGACCTGTAAGAAGGCATAAAGATCATTGCTGACACCATCTTCGTCAGTACGGAAGTCTTCTTCACTAGAACTATAGCTGAACCCCGTTCCAGTCGGTTGGTCAACATATATAAGGTTAGAAGCCTGTGAAATAAAATTATATTGCCTTTGAATACCAATTCAGATGAAAACATCCTAGGACAATACCGTTAAAAGATTACCTTGTCCCAACCATAATCATTCCAAAAGAGGGACTGGTTGTCAGCAATGTAAAAAGGTCCATTCTCATAAAACAAAGCCAATGAACTACTGCACCCTGGCCCTCCAGTCAACCATATAACAACAGGGTCACTCTTGTTGCTTCTCGATTCAAAGAAGAAATAAAACATCCTGCACCAAACCCAAAAAACACATCGTTCATTACAAAGATCGAGTACTAGGAAACCATAAAACCCAAAAAAGTAACACACCTTGCATCTACTGTGTTTGGAAGCCTGTAGTACCCAGCATGATGACCCAAATCCTCAACAGTCGACCCAGAATCACCAAGAAGGTTCAACTTGAACTTCTTCTCCACCAATCTGGGCGAATCCGCTTCCGCCGCCGGCGAGTGGCCGGCGGGACCCCTGTTCAGATCATGCAAGGGGAATAAATTCAGTTGTCTGATCATCTTCTCCGCCCGCCGCTTCGCCGCCATGGAATTATCCGCCCCATTTGCTTGCCCAGGCGACCAAACCAAAACGAGCACAAGCACAAAAAACCACATGGGGTATAACGTTGTCG